CTTGTTATTCAGATTTCATGAACGTTCATATAGATGGAGGAACATAAGTATCAAATAGCAATAACAATAAATTGTAAATTCAACATCCTTGACAATATCAACGCCGAAGTATGCTTGGTTTAAAAACGGGCTAAAACAGATTGGAGAAAGAGATTACCCCAGGCAAAGCTATGTAGCCAATAAAATGTCCGAACAACGACTAAAAGAAGAGGGTGCCTTTGCAACAAGTGTTACATGACCTAGAAAGTTGTTAGCACGAAGAAGAATTACCCAGAAACCAACTTAAAGACATACCTCGGCGATTGACTGCCGCTCAATGATTGATTTCTGTCTCTCATTGCGCGAAACACGGTAGTAATAGTCACTGAAATCACCACATTTCATGTGGCGCAGGAATTCTTCATCGTGCGTAATGACAATTAACTGGAAGTTAGCCTGCTGCTGACGAGTGCGGATAATGTCATGCAGCGACTCCGCCAGAGAGCGAATATTGTCTCGGTCCAGGTTCGTAGTGGGCTCATCAAGCGCAATGAGACCGCAATTGACACCGAAACATTCCGCAAGAGCAAGACGAATGATGATACTAGCCAGAACCTTTTGGCCTGCACTGCACCGGCCGCGCATGTCCATCTCGGCGCCTGACTTGACCATACAGACGCGGTAGTTGTACGATCGGTTGCCCTTAGCGTTCTCGTTGTCGGACCGGATGAGGATTGTGTCGACGTCTGTTCCGCGATAGGTCTTCTGCCACAGTTCGCCAGCAATGGCGTTGATTTCTGCCATCTTTAGGCCGTGATATTGCATTATTGCTTTGTCAAGAGCGCCGCCGTATCGAGCCAGATCTTCGACGGCGGCTTTGGTAGTCTCGACCTTGATATGCGATTCCTTGTATTTTGAAGATGCATCCTTATAATCTGTGTTCCAGTCCGCCAGCAGCTGCATCAACTGATCGTCCTTGGACTTCATTTCGCCCATCTTGCTCGCCTGTTTGGCAGCAAGGGCATTGTGTTCACGAGTCCAGCGTTCTGACTCTTGCTTGAAACGGCCTCTGTCCACTTCGGCATTTTGTGCTTCTAATTGCTCAACTTCTTCAACAACTGTGTTGAGAGATCGAGTGGCTTGGCGATATGTCAAGTTGTCGGAGTATTGCCGCTTGGTGTTTTCGCTGTCCTTAAGTTGGGTCGAGATTTTGTTGATCTCCCTTGTGATCTCGCTTTGATCGGCTTCGAGTTTGCCAATTTCCGCTTCAATTTCTTGAAGCTCTTGCTTGCTTCGTTCAAGCTGGCTGGGACCTCCCCGTTGATTATACGAGTTGATGTCGTCATTGGCGAGGTCAAGCTGATGGATGTTCTCGGATAACCGACTAATCTCGTGCTGCAGATCTCGTTCACGCTCGTCGGCTCGCTGGCTGATATCATCATAACGGGCTTGGGCTTGAAGCAATTCTGGCGTGAGACTTTCGATATCTCGATCTGCCTTCTCAATTGCCTCCCGCTGCTGATTATTGAGCTTCTTGAATTCCTCCATCCGGACGATCAGGTCTGCTTTCTTTTCCAGCTGGAATTTGGCATTGTCTAGGTTGCTCTTCACATCTCTGAACTCAAGCTCGAGCTTGTTGATCTCTGACCGGGTCTTTTCTTTCTCGTTTGTCACTTTCGTAAGAGCCTTTTTCAACTCCCTTGACTTTTCATTCATGGAGGCGATCTCCTCCTGGATGTCTTCCAGGGTACGAGCAGTTGAAGCGTCTTGCTGCTTTGCAGAAAGCTCTTGAATTTGTGATTTGATCGTCTTGATCTCGACATCGTAACGGGCGATAGTGCTCACTGTCTTAGCAAGCCCCTCGACGTCACGCTTGCTTTCCGTCTTCTCGCTGACCTTTCCGTCGTGAGTTTCGAGCTTCTCCAAGAGCTGGCCACGCTGGGATTCAGATTCCTGGCCTTCTTGTTCGAGCTCTGGGAAGACAGTCTCTGACAAACGGACCCAAGTATCGTAGGATGCACTAGCGGCGCGGGCAGTTTCGAGATCTTCTTCGAGGCTCTTCAGGGTCTCATCTTCGGCATCGAGACCGGCCTTCTTGACTAGAGCATCCAGCTTCTTTGTGAAGGTCTGGAGTTCTGCCTCGTTCTTGAACGATCTTTGACATGTTCGGCACAGCTTGGTGCGCTTAGCAGCATCAAGACATTTGGTGAGGTACTCTCCCATTCCGGCATACTGATCAGCGTCTTTGCGAGCTAAATCGTACTGTGCCTGGCGCTCCTTCACAATTTCAGGGTATTCGGAAGGCCCTGCGTCGACTGCTTCATATATTTCCTTCACGCATTCATCAAGTTCCTTTTGGCGTTGCTTGAGGTTCTTGTCGACCGTCTTAAGCTTGAACTCTACATGCTCCAATTCTCGGCTCACGCCATCACGCTCTCGCTTTGCATCGGCCACCTGCTTTGATTCGCTATCGAGAGCTTGCTGGAAGCCTCGCTCCAGTGTCTCAGGCTTCCAGTCTGGACCAACGACCTTCTCAAGGCGATCGCCATGAGCTCCTTTCATCGTCTGTAGACTGCGTTCACGGTCCTTCAATTCTTTCTTGAGGTGGTCCAGGCGAGCCAACTCCCCGGCCTTCTTGGTTGAATCAATGAGCTCGGTGTTCAATCTCGAGCTTTCATCCTCAAGGCGACGGATTTCCGCATTGGTATCCTGGATATCTTGATCCCAGGAAGCAGTTTTGGCTCGCTCTTTCGCATGCTCAAGGTTCGCTGTGATATCCTCGACCTTTGACTCAAGCGCAGCCTGGAAGCCCTCATCAACCTCGATTTCATTAAGCTTCTTTTGATAAGTTGTTGCCTCCTTGTCATTCGCAGCAATCTGTCGTTTTGCCGCGTTCTTGGTCTCTTGAAGTGCCGACTTGGTTTGCCCAATCTCATTCAATGTTTCTTGAACCTCACGGAGCTCTTTCTGGGCTTCACGCCTCACGCGATCCAGGGATTGGTTCTGGTCTCTTAAAAGGCGTTTGATCTTCTGCATGAAGGTGTCAATTTCAGACTGATCCATCTTCTCGCCAAAGCCACGGATGTTGTTGGCGTGAGCAATCTCATTGATCATGTTCTGGCGCCTTTGAGACTGGCGCTCGAAATTGGCCTTGTCGTTCTCAAATTTTCCATTCTCGGCTTGTTTCAGGCCAAGGCGGTGCCGAGTCTGCTCGATCCGCTCTTTAATTTCCATATAGTTTTCCTTTTGTGACTCTTCTTGTTGCTGGTATTGGATCTGCTTCGTTTCGAATTGCTCCAGGGTAGATTCAAGCCATTCATCGGAGTCATCAAGCTCAACCAAATGTCTCTTAAGGTTGTCAATGGTGGTTTGGATACTTTTAGCTTCGATGCGCTTGCCCTCAAGAGCACCGAGGACTTGGGCATAACTTTCAGATTGCGTCCAAGCCTTATCAGCAAGCTCCGCGACGCGCCGCATCTCTTGCGACATCCGCTGGGTCTCTTCGCGCAAGGCCTCGATTTCATCTTGAAGCTTGACGGATCGCTTTTCAGCACGGTCTGCTTTATCTTTGTCTTCTTTTGCATGCTGCTCCATAATCTTGAATTTGCCAAGCTCCTCGTTCTGCTTCTTGCGCAGTGCTTTGATGTTGTCAATGGCCTTGGTGTACTTCATAGCCTCAAATATTTCGTCGAACCTCTTTTTCAGCACAGACGGTTCACTCATTGGCCACAGACTTTCGTCCTGGTGGCAGAAAATGACCGAATCCAGCACGGCCTTGGACACTCCCAGATACTGAGGCATGATTTGATCCAGCTCAGCCACTCGCGATGAAATAGCCGTGCGTTCGCCATTTTTGACCATAAGCAGCTGGCCTTCGAGGGTCTTCTGCTGCCGTGTGGTTTTCTTGACCGTAAGCTGTAGACTGCGCGTGGCAACCATTTTCGCTCCGGAAGTGGCCTTGAACGACAGCTTCACCTGCGCCAGTACCTCTTTCTCGCCACATAGTTTCGGGTCGTGGATAAAAGCACCGCCTTTGCTGTTCGGAGGGAGATCGCCCGTTGTGGCATATTTGAGACACTCGATGATGGTCTAGACCCGCGTCAGTTCCCTGCTGGTCGCAACTCTCAGTCGCCCATTTCGCCATTTCGTACCGTCTTTCCTGAGCCATTGTATCCGACAATCAATGTGAGGGGTGTGTGGAATTGGATTGTTTCGCTGCGCGTATTGTCGAAGGAGCGGACTCTAGAACAAGCGCGGTTTGATGAGCATGAGTGTAATTACTCTCCGCAGTGGTTGCACTCGGTTTTAAAAACTTTGAGAGACGTACCCCAGGATAGAGAGCTTATCGATCTTCGCTACAGTATGTTAGATGACCGTTGGATAACTTTTTTTTCTTTTCTGTCCGAGGTATAGAGCTATTGCACTTACACCTAAAACCCAGTTAGCATCGCGACACGAGGCGGGAAATGATCAGCACGTACATTTTGAACAAAAGCTCTGAAAGGGGCTTTTGAGCCCGTTGGCCGTTAGCTTTATCAAATACAATCGGATACAAGCTAAACAGAGAGAGAGCTGAGAAATTAAAGTGCTCGGATCGCTGTTGATTGTGATCAATCACATAGTCCCGCGTCAAGGTGACACGAAATCACGTGAATTGTACTAAAGTGCTGTGGCCCACAGGGATCGGCTGTGGTTTTGTCAACCAGCAATAGCCGGCTCTTATTTCCAAAGTTCTCTCTTTTCAAGGAGATCCAGACCCTCAGTGAAACGATGTGTATATTCTGAGAGGCACATCGTTCAACCCCCTCTTGACCGAATGTACCGAATGTACCGCCTTGAATTTGGAGAATGAACCATTCCATCCTCAACGCCCACTCTACTATATCCGTCCCCACGTGCGGCCATTGTTTTTTAGGGAAATTTCCTGGCTCTTTATGAGAGACGTCGGATTCAGAAGCACTAAAACCTATCACTAGTGCCTTTATATCTCCCTCGTTTAATTTATCTATACTACACTCGATATGGCTCTGAGTCGCCCAGAACCCTATGAGGGTATGCCTCTACCCACCTCCCAGACGAGATCGGGCACCAATGAGGGTCATCCGGGGTACGCAATGGAACAACAACAAATTCATGGATCCCACGGTGGGCACTATGGGGTGCAAGGTGCTCAACACGGGGGATACCAAGGTGTACAAAACGATGGGGGCTGGACAGAGCGAGTCCTCGATGAAATGAAGGACATGCTACTTCTTCTCACACCCCAGGGCCGAATCACCTATGCCTCACCGTCGTGCAAGAATATCACCGGCCGTGTTGCAAAACAACTCGAGGGAAGCCTCCTGGCACAGTACATTCATGAGGATGACCAGCCCATCTTCCAGAGAGATTTGGATGACTCGGTCGCCGCGAACCAATCGTTCCGGACCCATTTACGATTCCAAAAGACCAACAACACATATTGTCTCATGGAGGCCTATGGTCACCCACATCTTGCAAACCAGGATGGGCGTCCGACAGAGAGGACTGCACCCGCCAACAGGTGCTGCACCGGCTTTTTCCTCGTGTGCCGACCATATTCCAACAAGGTCTCGCAGCTCCTTGACTCTTTTTTGGAGCACAAGATTGAGAACGCACGTCTGATCCAACATATTGCCAAACTGAAGGAAGAAGAAGAAGAAGATGCGACCGCGACTCGGGTGCCCTATTTCAGAAGCGACCAGGATATTCGGGCTCCCGCGACCGAGAACCAGAGCCAACAACCCGCTCCCTCAGGAGAATTGTCTAGTGATCCTGATACTACGGACACCGTGGGGCCGAACTCGGATGAATCCGACACGGGTCAATCGACGGGCAATTACCCAGAGCCCACCACCCGCGAAGTTTACTCACACATCGACGGCATCGAAGTTATGACTGGTCTTAACTATGCAGAGGGCGAGAGATCGCAAGGCCTCAGTACAGGTGGCAGCCGTGGCCGTCTTATACATTGCGATATCGACATCACCACGGCTGCTGACCAAGAGCGCAACGCTCAGGAAGGCGACCGCCGTAAAAGGCTCAAGGCCCAGCATGTCTGTAGCGACTGCGGAACGGCAGACTCGCCAGAATGGAGAAAGGGGCCTAACGGGCCTAAGACCTTGTGCAATGCTTGTGGCTGTAAGTTTTGTCCACCGCCCCTTGTAACCCCCGCTCAGCGTGCTTGTAACCTATCTACTCTTGGCACGGAACGAGCTAACCCAATTGCCTTTTTTTTAGTGCGCTGGTCTAAGAAGGAGAAGAGGCGCCAGGAGTCGGCCTAATTTTCAGTTCTCGGTTTATTTGCTTTTCTCGGGCTGGTGACAAGGTCTTCTCTCCATTGTCTTGCATATTCACGTCAAGATACCCCCTCAGTTGTCCGGGCGCTTTGCTGATCAAGCATGCTGTCCATTGCGCTGAATTTCCAAAATGATCTTCAGACGAGCCCCATGTTCGCTATCGCATGGGTGATGATGTTATGTCCTGTGAAATTGATCTCTTTGGTTCAATGTATATAGCTGGCCGTGATCTATCTTGCAAACATTCTGTATTAGCACTACGGAATTTATTCGTTTTTCCTTGGTAACTCAAAACTTGATTATAAGGAATTAAATGATTTTCGACAGAATCGGAGCAAATCAAATCCAACGCCGAAGATGATGACTGTATATACTAAGGACTTGTGGCATTTGGCCAATAAAAGGCAAGCCCAAGGAGAGGGCCGAAGGAATGGAACTAACCCAACTGAACGCCATCCTTGTCCCGTTAAATAATGAAGGTGATGTATGGGGCAACAACAAGTGGTATCACAAAAGCAATTTCTCACGACGAACAAGAATTCAACACCCAATCCATTCAGGGCTTAGCAGCCTTCTTTGGCGGCGGCGGGAAGTACATCGGCGACCCTGTCGAACTCTCCGGGCTGACTTCATTCGATTGCGGCGACGGGTATTGGGGCTGAGTCGCGCGGGAGTTGTCCCGCAGCGGGAGGTCCGAGGCGGTACTGCCATTGCCAAGTCGGTTGAAAGCTAGCGTGCGGGGAGCGAAGGGTGAGATATTTCCCCCAAAAGCCATGGGCGGAACCCCCGGGGTGCGGGGAACCATGCCTGGTCCTCGAGGCATTGAGCCAGGGGTCATGGGAATCATGCTGGGAGACTTGATGATCTCTTCTTCGAACTCCTTTTCGATGCGACGCTCTTCTCTCTGCTCCAGGATCGCTTCCCGTTCTTCGGGGGTGATGAAGCAGGAATGGATATTGAAGCCGAGGATAACTACATAGTAGACACTGGGGGGACTGTTAGCTAACTATTCCTCGCGGAACGGGGAGAAACAAAGAAATATTAGAATGGGAAGGGTCAAACTAACATCATGAGGATGGTCACAGCAAACAGCGCTTTGGCTTGCATGCAGTATCCAATATTGGACTTTTTAGAGGCGACACTGCAACTCTTCGCAATGTACCACGGGGCTCCTGGCTGGGGATGTTTAGGGTCTGACATGTCAGACCCAGCCTGATACACCGCTGACACGATATAGAGAATGATCAAGGACCCGTGGACGGCGACCGCGACAGGAGGATAAAATAGGTTCATCCAATGGGTAGGCAATTTTGTGATGAGGAAGAAAGTGCTCAAAACACCAAGGACAAGGTTGTAGTTGGTGATACTGTTCCTAGGGTCAGCGGCCAGCTCTTGAATATTGAGGATAGTGAGTGACATACAAGCCGGACCAAACCATGGGGGCCTTGTATGGTCTGTAGTTTGATGCTGCATACAGGGCCTCGTTCGGGGCACTGTTGAATCCATTGTCGGCTCCATCTTGCCATAACAATGTCCGGTATAGATTGTGGGAAGCGATACCCGTCAATGTCAGCATTACGATGGTGATCGGAAACTCCCCGGTCATTAACCAAAGGACGAGCTTGTGGTGCTTGTGCTTCTTTGGAAACATGAACTGCATTTTGGCGGTGGTTTTGGAAGGTTCGCAATCAAAATCAACTCTATTTCTCCAAAGCTGACCGTTCAGCCGAAGCGCTTATAGAAGAATTAAAGCTGTGTACAATGCGTTTCACCAGACCGGCTGGCTAAGACATTCAGTCTGTCACACGTAAATGGGCCAAATGTTTCAGCGTGGTCGAGAAGGTAAAAAAAAAATAGAAGAACACAAGCCTGGGCGATCCGGAGGACGAGCGTTAGATATGAGCTCGATCCCAACGAGTGGCCGAAGGCACAAGCCATCGCATGCAGGAGGGGGCACGAATCAGCATGGGAAGACCGTGTAGAGGAATTGATGTGTGTTTGGGAGGTGCATCTGGCCAATGCTTGATGGCGGCAAAGCGCCAGCGCAAGTAGCAACCCGGGTCATCACACCAATGAGACGACGGGGATCGAGGGAAGACCGCCGGTCGTCACACGCTAGACGGTGTGATAGGATGGCTGATCTGCATGGAGCCCTCATCACATAATTCCCCTCAGCAGGATCAGCAAAACCTTGGCGCTCTCAGGGAACTTGCAGCTTTTAGGTCGAAGCGCCTGGCGAAACGCTGATGTGGGGGGTGATGTGAGTCGCATCTGTGACTATGCAGTGGACTGTACATATACCCATGTTAGTCCCGGAGTCAGGAAAATGGGAACAAAGAGGATGGCCTCTCGTTTGTGATAGCTATAGCCATCATTAATTCCTATGTTGTCAAGTTGTAACCTTGAAAGTCGAGTGATGGCTTAATGAATTAGAGGAAGTCATGTGGTCGGCAGAATCCCAAACTGTGAACTGACTTGGTCTCATATTCAATACAATCATGCCATCTTTGAGGGAGTTCATCAACTAAATCTATCCAATTATACCCTTGTAGCTTGATACATATCTTGATATAATTGATGAAGTCGTTCCAGTTGTGTCCGCTTGCACTTCGCTCAACCATTCCACTCCGCATCATCCGGCCTAGCCAACTTGGATTCCGCTCCATCTCAAGAACTAAAGGCCAAATGACTTCCCAAAGAGACGACTCAATTCCTCACGAGCTGCGCACAGCTGCAGAGCCCCGGCAAAATAGACTATATCCGGTGCGACTATCGCACATCGAGCAGGTCAACCCCTCTGTTCGGCTACTACAGTTCGCTTTGCCTCCCCAAGAGAATAATGTATGGGATTATTTTCTTTTCTTGTCCGCTGCTTCTTTATATATGTCCCTATCTCCCGTATTTCCCGCTTATATATCAAGCCCAGCCGCCACGCCCGGGGCTGGTTGTTCTCCCCGCTCCGTTGGATCCTATCCATATATGCCCGCACGGCCAATGGTTCCAATCACATATGGGCATCTTCTATCACACACTTTCACCCGACACCACTGACGCATTTTATAGGATAACAGTCAACAGCCATTCAGCTTCCTCCCGGGCCAATGGCTTGATGTCCATATCCCCTCCATCCCCCAAGCGGGGGGGCTTCACTATCACCTCCACCCCGGCAGATGCGGAGTTGCTGCCGCCACCAGAGGCTTCTACTGACTCATTAGCTGGCGAGGCACTTGAACCATCTTCGGAATCTCAAGGGCGACCACCATATGTGGAACTGGCTGTACAAGACTCGCCAGGTAACCCATCCGCTGCATGGCTGTGGAGACCAAAAGAAAAGATCCTAGGCAAGGAGCTAAACATCCGAGTTGGCGGAAGCTTTGCCTGGCCTCCTACTGGAGTGAGTATCAATGATGTGAAGAATGTGGTCTTCGTTGCGGGTGGTGTTGGCATCAAGTAAGTGATACTCCCCAAACCTAATGTCCATTATTTCCGGGGTATACAAACGTATACCAGCACAAACCAAGACCTCACTTGTTTCAACCCCTTATGAGGAAAGTCTAACACAGTCTCAGTCCTCTAATATCCATGCTCTCCCACCTAAACAACAACGAACCTCACACCCCTAACCCAACCACCATCCACATCCTATACTCTAGCCGCCTACCGCATGTCCAGGAAGCAGCCTCGGCAGACGCAATACTAGACCAGATCCTGTTTCTCCCGCGTCTGCGCCAAATAGTCCGATCTCAAGAGAGTTCGCATCGGCTCCGGATCTCGTTGGACCTTTTCCTTACGGACTTATCCTCATCGCCCGATCTGCTCTCATCTGGGTCTCCTTCTGAGCTCAAGATTCACCGAGAGAGGATATCCGATCGTGATCTGCGCTCTGCGGCTCTGGGTACAGATGGTGAGTTGGATTCTCGGGGCACAGTATGCTATGTATGTGGACCGCCTGATATGACTGATTCCATTGTGGAGAAGTTGGTTGAGATCCTAGGGGATGGTGGGGAGCAGCGAGTTTTCTTTGAGAAATGGTGGTGAGGATGGGGTCAGATTGGTAGCGATGTAAAATATTCGGATGAGAATAATTGGGGTGTTTGTTCGTCGATGAATGAACAGTCAACGTTGCAGTCTAGGCCTACTGGCCTACGAAAATTGAAGCATAATAAGACTAGGAGAGATGGCTTGAATATTTCAGAAAAAAATAAGACTCCCCGCAGACGCCGACCTAATGCAGGCAAGGGGCAAAAAGATATATGTACAGGAAAATAAGAGAAAGGCCGCCGACAAAAACGGAAACGACAGTATATGAGAGCAGGGGCAGTACAGACACGCTGACATCTCGATACAAGATGGGATGAGGAAGGGAAAGGAGAACAGAGAGGGAGAGAAGTCAAACCTTGTTAGGTTGCTTCCTCTGGGCTGTTGACGGTACCGCCATCCACGATCATCATTTCGTCGATTTTGGCTTCTGTTTCACCCCATTCTAGGCGCTTGTATGTCGATACACGACCGGGGCCTCTGTCAAAGTCGAAGAAACGCACCCGTCGGACGAAGTCATTGTAGCCACCGTACCCGCCCAGTCCGGCACCGCCGCCGTAGCACATCCAGAGAGAGGGCTTGGCATTGTCGTCTTGCTCGAGCATGCAATAGTCATTGACATGATCACTAAAGAACAGTTAGTATTCGGAACAACGAAAATGAACCAAAGTATGTGACTTACTGGCCACAACTAACAAACAAGACGCCCTCTTCTTCGAGGGCGTCCTTGAAGCCAGAGTTGAACCCTGGTGCAGTAGGGGCTTCCATCCATGAACCCTTAAAGTACTTTCCTGAGGTGCGATACTCAGGGAGCGGAATGTGGATGAATGCCACGTTCATGTGGATATGGTTATATTCCTGGTGTTTCCTTCTCAGACTTTGAGCGGTGTTCTTGAACCACCGAGTTTGGCTGGGCTTGATCCAATCGTAGCCACGGAACTGACGCTCGTCAGGGGAGTAGGAATGTGTGTCAAGGAAATAGAGGGTCAGGGCAGAGTGTGTGCTTTTGCCCCAATCGAGAACTTCGACAACGTAGTTTCCGACCCCGTCAATGTCTTCGGGGCCGGCGACTGAAAGAGAGTAAGGGAGGTCTTCATATATCGTCATGAGTTGTTCTCGGTTGAGGTCACCCTCGTCATCGTGGTTTCCAAATATGGCTGCGTAGGGAATCTTGCGATCGACCAAAAGCTTTACAGACTTGTAGAGAGCACTTTGTGCATCTGGGGCGGTCTCTCCGTTGATCTGGTCACCAGAGAAGACCACCATGTCCGGCTTCTCTTCGTCGAGAAGTCGCTCGACAAATTCCAAGGTTCGGGGGTCGGCTTCACACTTCTGGCCAGCCACCGCTTCCGCAGGAACAGGGTCACGACAGTGGCCGAGACCGGTGCTCATGTGGAGATCTGCCAACTGCATCACCTTAAATTTCCCGTTCTCGTTGATTCTGGGAACGGGTTTCTTGGGTTTGGCCTGCGGATGCCCTCTTCGAATACTAAGGCGAGTCTCCAACTCTTCTGTTCGACTATCCAGGAGAATAGGGGTATCTTTGACTTCCCAGTTGGGACGAGGATCAACAGCATCGGCTCCATATAGGACATCAATGTACGTCACAGCGCTTTCGGAGTCGCTGGCATGGCGGGAGGACGAGCGCTTGAGCCAGATGCCTCCCGGTCGGGGTTCCCACGCTTCGATTTCGGACTTTCCAACAGATTCTGGAGGGGAAGTGATACGACTGATTTTCAAATCGATGACCACCTTGTCATCAGGGCCCAATTCCTCCTCCTTTTTCCTCCTGAATTGAACGTAGGCACTCGAGGTCCAGCCCGAGCGCAGGTAGAGGTCCTTATCGACGCGGTACCAGGTTTCTGGGTCTAGCTTACAGCTCGAGAATGGATTGAGGGAGGAACATGTTGTGACGGTCACATCTGTGATCACGTAGCCGGAATAATGCGACGGAAGATGGCCATGGATTGAAGAGGGAAGGACACTAAATCGATTATCGAGAATGACGACGACGAGGAGAATGAATGATACGAATAAACCGAGCTGTACACTCGCTCGGACCTGCACAAATTAGGTGTTAGCAAATTGCTTCACAGGGAGTAAAATAATGTCATACTAGCCGGCGAGCCATTATGAGATAGATATCACCCTGGCAAGGACTTGAAGAAAAGCGAGGCGCCCTGTCGCATGATGCCCAGGAATTGCAAGGGTATAGGGCAAAGGAGAAGACCAAGTTCGGTCAACTCTAGGATATAAAGGACAAGTATAATTTGTTTGGAGGATTGAAGTTCGCAGTTCACCCTCGACGCTTGGACCCTGAAGGCGGTGACTCCTGAAGGGTTGGTCTAGCCTTCTCCCGATTCTTGGTGTATATGTTGGTGATTCATTGACTTGGCTACTATTACTTTTTCACTGATATTCCCATTATCCTAGTCTAAATTTATGTAAAATTTATGTCCATCATCAACATTCATGTGCATCTAGTTGCAAGTCTATACAGGTCTACCTCCGTTCTACAGGCCGAGCGAAGCCTTGGCAGCCACATCACCTGCTGACACTTTGCCGCTCAATATGTCTTTGGAAGTCGAGAGAATTGTGGACCAATTCTCGAAAGTCGTGTAGGGCATTCCCCTGCGCTGGCAGTAGGTCACCAGATCTGCAACAGCGTTAGTTCAGTGTCTCGAAATCTAGGCTCAAGGCGGTTCGGGCAGATGAATACCTTTGCCTTGCTTGGCGAAGAGAAGATCAGTTTCTGCAGCTGCGGACAAATCAGAAACACCGTCTCCGGCGTATAGAAGAATCGGGCGCTCTCCGTCGGGCAATGTGGCATAAGGCTTGATCTCCAGGGACTTGTCATGCCCGAAGTGGCTGGTGAATGATTGTCAGTGAGGCTGGGGGGGATGATGAGCGGATTGACAGTGCCTTACCTGTCATCATGGTACTCAATCTGCCAACCACCCTCGCTGTTGATATCCTTGCCGTCCCGGCTCACAGGCTCGTTGGAAATGATGGTGAGGTGGCTGGCTGGCTTGTGGCCAAGGAACTTCTCCAACAAGGCACTGATAATGGGTCGCATTCCAGATGACAAGATGACAATGGGAACATTGTTATCCTTGGCCCAGTAGTAGAATTCCTCGAAGTATGGGTCCAGCTTCATGTTCTTTAACAGCGTCTCGATGCACTCGTCGTATGGGGTCTTGATGCTTTCAAGCATCTCGCGGAAGGCATCCCTATAATGAAACCCATTAGGACTTGCTTGTGGAATAGACAGTGTCTTTAACACTCACCGGAAGCTCAGAGTCTCGTCAAGGACCTGGTCGCTCAACGCAAGGCGCTTTTCCCGGCCGAAACCAATGTTATCGATCTGAGTGGTATTAGTGAAGATCTAGGAGGGGATAGCGATGCGATATACCATGAAGTCATTGCCTGCGATTCTAGTCAGCCTTCAAGTACTGGCACTTTGTGGGGAAGCACTTACTGTCGTCCACTGTAATTGTCCCATCAAAGTCAGTGAAGAAGATGAGCTTAGGCTTGGTCGCCATGTATGGGAGAGCAATGGAACCCATGATCGCTATATATAGCAATATAGATGAATCAAAAATATGTACAATCCAGAGAATGACTGAAGAAAAGCAAGCCCTGAGATTAAAGATGTGCCCCTCGATTCGGTGACTGGGGGTGGGTCGAGCGGTACCGCAGCGGGCTAGTCTCGATCCGCCAGATTTTCCTTTTCTGTTTATTTCAGGGCTAGTACTTGACATATATATTGTTCTATATCATGTCTCGTCTGCGCCAGGCCCTGCAGCGCGTCTTTGGTGTGACTCCGCCACCAGGCGTCTTGCGCTCTCGAGCCATTGACACGAATTTCTCTATTATAAAAGGTAATTGTGTTGCAACGCCTCCTCCCAACGTCGGACTAACGCAATGCGCAGAGGGAGACCGAGTCATTTTACACGGTAAACAGCCCTCATTGTTAAAAGCATTGAAGCGAGGTGAAAAGTTCCAGACTCCTAGCGGAGCAGTGGAACATGATAGCATCATTGGGAAACGGGTCTGGGACACGGTACAGTCTCGCAAAGGTCAATACACCCACTTCTCGGTTTCCCTGGACATGACACTGATACTTCCGTTATATATAGGCCAGAATGTCCGATTCAGCCTCCCAACGTTAGCAGAATATGTCGCCTTGACCCCTCGCTTGGTCACGCCGGTATGCGCATCACTCCTACAGATCAGACCCGGAGATACATTGGACTCACGCTATCCCAGTAGATCTATCCACAGGATGCCAATTTGATTGCTTCCCTTCTCGACATTCATGTCAATACTCCTGCCGCAGGCGAAATACAACCCACTTTGGAAATCCTTGAGTCCGGAACAGGCCATGGATCCTTGACACTACATCTGGCGCGTGCCATTCACGCCGCCAATACCACTCCTCCGCCTCGTCCATCGCGCTCCCAGATCAACTACCTAGAAGGCCGTGTCATCAGGCCCAGTGAAAAGGATACGGGACAAACAGAAGAGAAACCCGCCGAGCCAATTGCGGATCCAGCACAGGAGGAATGGGATGCATGGCGAGCGCAGCGCAACGCCGTCATCCACACAGTCGACGTATCGCCGAAGTTCTCTGCGCTAGCCGAGAAAAACATACGGGGATTCCGCCGTGGAATCTACGCAGGCAACACTGATTTCTATGTAGGCCCCGTCGAAAACTGGATTGCCCAGCAGAAGCAGCTGCGGAAAAAGACTGGCCTGGCTTCACTGACTGGTGGAAACCCTGTCGACCCGTTCCTTTCACACGTTATTCTGGACATGCCTTCCGCAAATTTGAGGATCCCGCATGTTACCCCGATGTTGAAGCGTGATGGCCTCCTGGTGGTGTTCATGCCTAGTATCACGCAGATTGGCGAGTGTCTGCAACTGATCCGGGACCAGCGACTGCCCCTCGTTCAGGAGAAGGTGATCGAGCTTGGCTCTGGAATCAGCGGCGGCCGCACATGGGATGTGCGTTTTGCGACTAAAAAGTCCGGCGCCGACCCAGTATCCTGGGCTACCCCTTCAGATGCTGAGGTTGCCACTCCTGTCGAGACCGACGAGCAGTCCACCGCCTCTGATTCTGCCTCTGATGCGTCCATCACAGAGGAGCCTCCCAAGGAAGGAGAGTCTGTCTTGGTCTGCCGGCCTAAGGTCGGACTGCGTATCCAGGGCGGCGGCTTCGTGGCAGTCTGGCGGCGGATCGAAGACCATTAAGTTGCCGGCCCAGCTGTCCCAAGCATATAAATCCTGTACTATATACCTGTATTCTATTGCATGTCTGATACAGACTGAACCATTTGTACCATATAGAGAATTGTGAGAATAATATCAAAGAGATGCCTGGAAAGATGTCGTAACAAGAAACAATCGCTTCACAGCTTCGCTTTACCCTCGGTCTCCACATCCCCATGAACAGGGGTGTCTATGCCACCTGCACCCTCAACACTCTCTACCTCACCCTGGTCAACCACCCCCTTCGTCGCAGGCACTTTACCCAAAACCCAAGCCTTCACATCCACAAAGAACTTCTCCGTGGTCTCAGGCAACTCATCATGCAACTTATGATAAGCCCCCTCATAAGAACAGAACGTGACATCACCACCCTTCTCGGTCAACCCCTTAACAAAGTCCTTCGTCGCAGGATAACTAGTAACGAGATCCCCATCCCCATGTCCAAACCAAAACGGCAGGTCACTCTTCACCCAAGCTCCATCCCCAGCCGCAAACATCCCCTCCAACCAAATACCCCGATCCAACATACCAGCCAAGCCCCCAAAAGTCGCGGTATCATGGCACAGCGTATCAGCCACGAACTCCTTGACCACATCCTTATTGCGAGACAGCAAATTCGGGTCAAGCGGGGAATACCGCTGCTTATGGGGGATCAACTTTGCGACAAGTCGCCCCGCTGAGACTATCAGCTTTGAGGGACGGGAGGATGGGTCTATGGCGATTAGAGGGGAGTACAGAAGCACGCCGGTGAAGTTGGGCCGCTTGGATTTGTCTCCGTTGTAGGGTGACTCTGGGTGGAAAATGTAGTTGAGGACTTGGCCGCCGCCCATGCTGTGGCCCATTAGGAAGAGCGGCACGTCAGGGCGGGAGGGTAGGCTTTGCAGGAAGGAGTGGATGTCGGAGAGGACTTGGGAGGTTGGGCCTGTGTCGCCGCGGTCGCGGGGTTTTTTGACGCTGCGGCCCCATCCTCTAAGTTTGGGCTATTAGTTATGGGGTTTATAGTGGAATAGGTCGGTTTCTTTGCGGGATTTATATTGAGATATCAGGATAGGGTCTGGTCTTGGTGGTTTGACACTTACCGTTGATCAAAAGACCTCACCTCAACACCTGCCGATACTAGTGTTGGAAACAGATCATGGTAGGCATTGCCTAGCAAGGGTTTGTATCAATAATCTGTCTTGTGGATGAAGGGCTGTCTTGGCTTATTGCTCATAATAGACATAATAGACTCACAGTGGTCACTGAAGCCATGGATGAAAGCCAAAACAGCAAGTGGAGACCCGCTAGTCTATATAGTAGCGCACATTGTTAGCTTTGGAAATCAATACGCTTATTTCGAGCTCGGGAACGATCTCAGCTTATTCAGAGCGGGATCAACCCGCGGAGACTATGTCGTTGCAAATTCAGACATACCTTCCATGTCTTGGCATACAGCTCAAGGCCGTCTGGGAGAGTGTGCACGCTTTCTTCTGTGTTCATTTCGGTTGTTGGAGCTTTTACAAAATCTTGAGAGGTGGTTAGAGAAGGGATGGAGTGCACGTTTAAGCATAAGTACGACCGCGGGACCTCGGCAGGAATATCAAGCCAAGATACATACTAACGCGATTCAGATCCACCAAGCCCAAATTTATATTCAAACCCTATTTATACAAATTTATACATATCCTAACACAATTATTATACAGAAATAAGATAACTATGTATTTACATGCACAGTACGTATAAGGTAGAGTTGATACAATCACAGGAAATCAAGCATATCTCATTTTCTGGACGTCAACTGTTGCTTCTCCACTCTTGCAAAATTTGCCAGCAACCTTGGTCGACTGTGACTACCCCTTCCAATGATTTTCTTCTTTTGATTCAATTCTATTGTAAGTCCATGATTGCACTGCCCCCGGAATCCCAAGAAATAGTACAAAGTAGACGGGAAGATCCTGAGGTCTGAATTCCGATGAGCAAGAGCCTCTAGGGATCCACGGGTCTTCAGACCCACTTAAAAAATATTTGATTGGTTCCCAAGTAACTTTGTATTGTCCAATCATATTTTTTCAGTGACATACTTCTCGAGGGCTACTATATCGGCCAAAAAATTACTGTCAACTTCTTAACAGTCTTACTTTTTGTTACCTTTTAGCCTTGGGATCTATGCTATATTATCTTAGACAACGAGTGCCATCGACACTTAGGCCAGCAATCTCACAATCTCTGCTGCGCTTCAAACATTCAAAAAGGATGTTCTCCGCCATTCCTCAAGCGGTTACAAACACCCACCAACCCGATGTCTCATATCGATCTCTGGCATTATCCCCGAGTGAAGATAGCCCAGATATCCGCCAGAAGTATCGACCATTTATCCTTGACAACAATGCAACTGAGGACTGGGTCAACAACTTAGACCTGACCACCGCAGCGGACATGGCAGAACATAACCTACGGGTTACAAACGAGAGGCTGAGAGTCCTGGTACTCTATGGAAGCCTTCGTAAAAGGTCATATTCTCGACTAGTGGCATTGGAAGCTTCCCGTATACTTTTCCGGCTCGGCTGTGACGTACGCGTCTTTGACCCCGAAGGTCTTCCTATGAAGAACGAGAGTGATACCGCCCATCCCAAAGTACAGGAGCTCCGAGAACTCAGTGTGTGGAGCGATGGACATGTCTGGGTTTCTCCTGAACAGCATGGCAATTTGGTGAGTGATCTTTCCCTATAATCTTAACGTTTAATGCATTATTTACTCATATGCTTTTCCGCAACGCTAGACCGCTGTGTTCAAGAATCAGATCGATTGGATTCCTTTGACTACTGGCAGTGTCCGTCCCACCCAAGGCCGAACACTAGCCATTGCCCAGGTGTGCGGTGGATCCCAGTCGTTCAATGCGGTCAACTCTTTGCGTATCCTGGGTCGGTGGATGCGTATGTTTGCGATTCCGAATCAGTCTTCGATCCCGAAGGCATATACACAGTTCCCGGATGAAGGGCAACCGGGAGATCAACGACTTATGCCTAGTGGTAACAGAGATCGTCTGGTGGACTGCATGGAGGAGTTTGTCAAATATACGATTCTGATGCGGCCTCACATCGGTCTTTTTGGTGACCGTTTTAGTGAACGGGAGGAGAAGAAGATAAAGGAGGCAAAGCTGAATGCCGCTACAGTTATTTGAAAGACATAGAATAATATAGAGTGTTAGAAAGATAATATATTATGGTATAATGCTCAACATATTTTGTTCCCTCGACTGGTAACTCAGTGACTCCTCTGGTTAAGGCTTACATGCTGTACGGAGAATATGGAAGTTGTATTCACATCAAAATATTTGTTGCCACCTTTCGACGTTTTTTTCCTCAGCTGTATTCTATTGCCGATCATTCGTGTGTAAATGTCGCTGCCAAGAAACAGTGACATACCACATTCGGCAATCGAAAGTCGTGACCATGGAGAGAGTCGATATAACAGTTACTTAAATATTCCTCGCTTCCCTCCATATATTCATGTATAGGCTGTTGGGAGTTGAACCATATTTGACAAGGAAACCCCACACGGAGACTTCGTTCCCCGCAGTCTAATGCTTATGATATACGATGTCGCTTTCTTCCAACCCTTCTCCACCCCCAGATGGCGGATATGGTTGGGTATGCGTGGCTGCATGCTTTTCAATCAATTGCTTCACTTGGGGTGCGGTCTCTGTGCGTTGTCTCGATATCAGTCCTGTTAGCGGCAACCCAGCTCATGTTCTCTAACAGTCATATGGCGTGTACTTGGCACACTACCTATCGAACAACGTATTCCCCGAGGCTACTCCCATGGACTTTGCACTAATTGGGGGGTTAAATTTCTCCATGGCGATGTTGGTGGCCCCTGCTGTTACAATCGTTGCTCGCAAATACGGCATCAAGTTACCTATGTTGCTCGGGTTGGGGCTTTTGGCGTCGGGATATATCTCTGCGTCCTTTTCACAAAGAATCTGGCAGCTCTATCTGTCACAGGGAGTCTTGATTGGATTTGGAGTTGGCTTTATCTATATACCCAGCATCCCTGTGCTCTCTCAGTGGTTTGGTAAGAAAAGAAGTCTTGCCAACGGGATCAGTGCGGCCGGATCAGGTATTGGTGGCTTGATTTTTTCGTTTATGGATGGTTCAATCATTCAGAATATATCTCTTGCTTGGGCTCTGCGGTTGACAGCTATTATCAGTTGCTCAATGCTGATCGTTGCCATTTTACTAATCCGAAATCGCAATGAAGCTATACTGCCGTCCCAGCGGGGATTCGATGTGAAACTCTTGCGTCGTTTAGACGTGCTTCTATTGCTATCATGGGCTTTTCTCAGTATGCTTGGCTATATCTGTCTGCTATTTTCACTTCCAGATTATGCACGCTCCAGTGGACTCTCGGACAACCAAGCTACAATTGTCAACGCGATCTTGAACTTGGGAACTGCTGTTGGTCGGCCACTGATAGGCATTGCCAGCGATTATTTTGGCAGGATTGAGGTCGCTGGCCTCTTGACTTGCTTTTGTGGCATTACTTGTTTTGTCATTTGGCTTCCCTCGACATCATATGGCGTACTTGTTCTCTTCGCTTTCATCAGTGGGGCTATTCTCGGGGTCTTTTGGGTTGTAAGTCGATCAAGCCTATACTGATCCTACGTGGCCACTGAACTTCTAAATAGACCGTGGGACCTTTATGTGTTGAGGTCGCTGGGTTGGAGCAGCTCCAATCACTCCTCTCTTTGTCTTGGTCTTTTATTGTGCTCCCTACAACATGTAAGGATTTTGCATACAGGCCTGAAGACCTTGGGCTAATATCAAATTATAGTCTCCGAGGTTATAGCACTCAAACTACGCCGTCTACAGTCACACCAACCATATCGAAATGCCCAAGTGTTCTGTGGTATCTCTTACATTTGTGCTAGCGTGGCTTTACTTTTTCTCTGGTTGATTAAACGACGGAAAGCATAAACATGGACCTAATAATAATAGGGGTATCTAGTCAAGGAGACTTGATTTGAGTGGTTGGTTAGGGTGTTTATATCGAAATACTAGGATGTGGTTTGGTCTTGGTTGATGGCAGAGACGAAGTATGTATACTTACAAACTAGAAGACCTTAGCTTAACACCTACCAATAGTGTTTAAAACAGATCAATTCAATAATATGTGTCAACAATAAGTATTAACCTCCTTAAAATGTCAAGTTGAAAATAATACTCGCCCCAGACAGATCGGGCAAGCTCGGAGTCGAAAAATTCCAAAACACAGGAAGTCGGACTCCGCGGACCCCGACCTTAGCAAGGCTATCAGTGTTTTTTATACTCAGCGCAGAGCCACAACCATTCCTTCCAGTACCTTTGCGAGGAAGATTCAAACAAAATGTCCACATTCAATGGCTTAGAAATAACAGCAGTAAGTCCACCCAGCCCACTCCTACCCCAAACCCCCATCTAACCCAACCAGGCCTCAATATTCGCCGCGCTAGCCAGCGAAGGAGCCATCCACCCAATGGACACAGTAATAACACGCATGCAATCTCCAATGTACAGCAGCGTCTACAAGCATCTAAACGGCACACTCAGCCGCACCCTCTTCAGCGGGCTGTACCAAGGTTTCGGACCAACCTTCATCGCAGGGACAATTTCATCAGCTGCTTTCTTCACAGCATACGAAGCCTCAAAGACAGCGTTTGACAATGCACAGTCCGCTGGATATATGCTCGGCGTCCCGCGGCCGCTGATTCACGCTACTAGCAGTGCTGTCGCTGAATTGCTCGCCTGCGCTATCCAGAACCCGGCTGAGGTATTGAAGCAGAATGCTCAGGTTGTTCAGCGACCGCTTAATGCTAAAAAGGGTCCGTCTCCGACGATGGAGATGGTGCGTCAGTTTCGGAAATATCCTTCGGGGTTGTGGGCTGGGTATGGTGCTCTAGTGGCGAGTCAATTACCGAGTATGTGTCTTACGTTTTGTTTGTATGAGATGTTCAAGGAGGATTTGCTTGAGCGGTGGAAGACAGAAAAAAACGATATTAGGCAGCAGCTTGAGGCGACTGTTTTGGGTGCTGGTGCTGCGGGGGGTTGTGCGTCTTGGTTTTTTGTTCCTATTCATGTGGTCAAGACGAGGATGAGGCTTGCGGTTGGTGAACAGACAGGCAAGGGAAACCCTGGTTTGGCATCCCGTGTCGGGGCATTTGCTATTGCTCGAGATGTGCTGCGGAAGGAGGGGGTAGCTGGGTTGTTTAGGGGATCTGCTTTGACCTGCGTGGCAGCGATTTTGGGAAGTGGACTCTATATTGGGTGTTATGAAGGGGCTAAGATATACTTGTGCAATTATCAAACCTCATAGCTGGCACGGCTGGAGATTGCTCCAAGCCAAATGTACCATAAGATATGTATAATATAATAGAATCACTCTCCTCCTTCAATTGTCTTATAACAGAGCGAGAAAAAAAAACACTGGATTCGCCTACTAGAGATATAAAATGCAAAGGACCTGCGAAGAACCCTGCCATCGTTACATTATAAGGCGCCCATGCAGTGTAAAAGGTGCGTGCACTGTGGATAGAGCATGATATCGGGACTAACACAGAGCTAACGTCAGACTTATTAGCTCTCCAAAAGGTTACACCAAAGCTCCTTTACAGATGTTATGCTTATCAGTCTCTCCGAATCCCGGGCCTGTTCCGTGTGCTACTCTCCTACATGCACATACCTACATAAGGTGCATTGTAGGGCCGGGAACCATGTGTGTATTACAGTTTCACGATAAACAAGTATGTACCCAAGACTCCATGCCAAGGACATCTTGGTCTACATTTACCAGCAATTCTACTGATCGTGTCTACAAAAGAACATCCAATACTGAAAATGAACAAAGCCAAGCTCTATTCTTGATTGAACCTCGCATAGGACGAATGGCACAATAAACAGGTACATGAACAGACAAAACTCCTTTCGCCTGAGAAAAAGAAAACGACGAAAAGCAACCTCGTCACGGGCAAAAAGCAGATACCCTTCACCACCTGTTCCGCCCGAACACCAATCCCCGATCCCAAGCGTCGTGAAGCCGTCTCAGATGTGGTTAGAGATTAGGTGAAATGAAACCGAGATAAATCAGGAAACTTAACGGAAGAAGACACAGGAGATGTAGAGAGTGAGGTTGAGAAACAAAAAGGTGGGGGGTTGGAGGGATGAGAGAACGCCAGGGAGCAAATGGAGAATGCCACGCCGTTTCACTACATGTAACGGACACGAGGCAAGACCATTGTTCCAGGAACAGATACTCCGCTAGCAAATCAAGAGGATACAGAGGATGATAAGCGAGAGGAAATGGAAGAAGGACGTTCATAAGCAGGAGAGAAAACACAAGAAAGAAAAAAAGAGATACGTAAAGAAACACCATAAGACGGCTGGCTAGAGAGCCACCACCCAAAAAAGATTCCGAAAAAACAAGCACGAAGGGAAAGAAACCGGTTGGACAAACACCCCATCTCCGAAGATTTCAAATGCTCCTTGTCATCAGTGCCGTTGTGGCCCAAAGTCTGCCTCTACTACCTTGCCCTTCTTGCCCTTTACCGTAAACTCCGCAAGCAACGCGACATGATCACTCGGGAAGTGGAAATTCGGGAACCCGGGCACGCGGCGCAGATATTCCTTGTCCACTTCGCCGAGCAACGCCGACACATGAAGAGTGTTGGAAGAGTACCAAATATAGTCGAGAATGGCCGTGAAGTCGGAGGTGTAGTTGGTGAAGCTCAGTTCTCCCATGGAGGAGTAGGCTGACTTCAACTTGAATGGATGTGTCATACCAACCCGGCTGAGGTTTCCGTAAAGTCGCTTCTCTAGATCGGGATGAGCCTCGGGAAGTCGTCCGGTGGAGATCAAGTTGTAAGCCGCAGACCCTGGTGAGGAGTTGAAATCACCGCACATGAGAACAGGGATCTGATCGCCACTGGTGTACTCCATCGACGGGGCCGGTTCCACCACAGGCGCGGTCTCTGAGCCACTTTCAGCCTCTGAGAAGCGGAATGCAGTCTTGTCCGTGCAGGCGGGCCATTTGGCGTAGTTATCCGAGAGTTTGGTAATCTCCTCCATCAGAATCGCAGTCTGAATGAGCTTGACATCCTTGAAGGCAGGATCCCAATACAGATGAGCGTTCACACTGATGAATCGAGCACCGGTTTGCCGGTTTTCCAAGAAGATCACAACGGCGATGTGGTCCTTCTGCCACAGTCGGTTGTAGATATCATCTTGGCCCTTGGCGTCGGGTCGACGGACGGCTGTCTGACCAAAGTTGATCAATTGCTTGTCCAACAGGATGTACTTGCTTCCCTTGAAGAATGTAGCACATCCATCGACCATCCGGGCGTCTTCCTCCTGCATGCCCATTGCACGACCACGCGGCCAGTAGACACCCTTGTAGTCATTGTAGGCAAGCTGCTCCCGGAAGAAATTGTTGTAACTTCCCTGATCAACCTCCTGAAGGCAGACAATATCTGAGTTATGGGATCGTAATTCGTTAAGAATAAGCTCGCGGCGGAATTCCCAGGACAGAACACGTGAGGGCACATAGCCGTAATGCGATTGGGTTGCAGAAGAGTCACACAGGGTGTTGTACGACAGTACGGTGATCTTTTCCGTATTACTGTTGGACGATGTTGAAGTATCATCGAGGATCACCCAGTCACGGTCAGGAGGAGGTAGGTGGACTGTAACGATGAAGTTAGCGAAAAATCCCGCGCAAATATGGTTGAGAGCGGAAAGAGCAATTGAAACGCACCTGGCATCTCTTCTTTCAGGTACTTGATGAGAGCCTTGGTTCCGTCCTTCATGATCTGAGATTTGAGGACATCATTCAGGGGATTGCCCTCGATGCCCAATGTTTCCAACCGGTAAAGGTACCCCATTTCGTAAGGGAGTGTGCGAATGTTGTTATCGAAGAGAAGGAGCTTCTTCAGATTTGAAAGCATGCCAAGTTCTTCTGGCAGCTCCGTCAATTCATTGCCTGACAGATCCAGATGGTTCAACTTCCGCAGTTGTCCAATGGCCGGGGGCAGCACCTTCAACTTGTTAGAGTTGAGGTACAGCTTCTCAATGAAGCCATAGTTGAACAACGAAGTAGTCAAAGCGCGCAATCCTTGGCCACCGAAATCAAGCGCATTCCAACCCTGTCGGCTGGCTGGCTTCCCCCAGATGCACCATTTCGCCCATCCGTCCCATTTTCTGTGTCAGTGTTGCTGGAGATGAGCTGGATTCCTTTCGTTTGTTGCGCAATGACGCGGGCATGGTAGTGGGGAGAAGTGGCTTGTCTGGATTCTGCCGCAAGCTGGAGCTGCTGCTGCCAATGCTCGTTCATTGATTCATCAAGATCATCGTCCGTGGTCGGTACTCCGTTCTGCAAATGAGTTGAGGTGAAATGAGAAGTTGACGTAGTGGCCAGTGCGCCGCCGGGGAAATTGTGTTGATGAGTGAGGTTGTGGGTCGCTTGTGTGTGATGGGCATGATGATGCGGCTGCTGTGTGTGATGAGAGTGGTGTGTTTGTGACTGGAACTTCGGGATCGGCATGCCAAACCGCTGGTGGGCTTGACCGCCATTCATCATGACATGCTGACCCTGGTGAGTTTGGCCGTACATGTTGTTGAAAGGGCTGAGAGCAGCAGCCTGGTTTAGGGCAGGGGATCGAGAAGGGGAGGGGGTGTCGGTGTTGAATTTCAGTCGACCCGTCGGAGAATTGGTCCCGTTTCGAACGATGTGTCGCTGGTGAGGGTTCTGCTGTGCTTGAGCTTGGAAGTAGAACTGCCCGGCCCCAGGCTGCTGGAACCTGTAGGTACCATCTGCCATTTAACGTGGCAGACGAGACCGTGTTTTGTTTCCCTGGTGGAAAACCTGTTGGTTGGCGGGTGGCGCTAAGTTGAGTTGGGTCGAGGAGAGGAGAGGAGAGGATCGGAGACGGTCTCTTCTCTTCTTCCACATAGAGGCCTAAGGCAAAACCACCTGTATCAAACCACGATTGAAGGTCGCCGGTGACTTTGGCACTGGGAGTATCTTTAGGTGTGCAATGGAGCGATACCTAAGGGCGGAGATTGGGCGGAAGGGTCAAAAGAGGGCGTGATCGGAAAAACAAAAAGAGATCGAGTGATGGGGAGTCGAAGAAAAACCAGTGGGGTAAGATTGACGTAGCAAAGATGAGCAAACCAGACGATTGTCTCCAGGTCGATGAGGACGTCCTAAGATGACACTGGTGGTTTGCAGCGAGGCGGGAGTCACGGGATCACGTGAATCGCCGCAAGGGCCAAAGTCTTTCCCAGATTTGATGAGCTTGAATTGCCAAGACACAGTCAATGTCTCCTCAATTGTTTGAAGTTTTTTTGAGGAAAAAGTTTGACATTGATCATATATTCTTCATCTATCCCGCATATTCACATCACTTTTGCGACCGATGGGACAGTTTATATGAAAACCAGCCACGTGGTTGACTTTGCCTGCCAAAACTATGGGCATACGCAACTGTCTTTGGCAAGTCGAACCTGCCTCGGATTTTGATTCTGCCTAGGCATCTTGTTTGAAGCTAGCCAACACTACGGGGGTACATACAATGAAAGAAATCTGGGTTTAGAATGGAGATATATATAACCAGGGGGTCCAGCAAAGAGGGAAAGAAACCTGGACCGAAAGGTTGAAAGAATGGTCAATGATCTGATCTAGTCTAAGCCCTCGCTAATAATATCTAATACTTCTAAAATTGAGTCTTGTCTTTGGTTTTGTCCTATATAGGTATAGAATCTTTGTGTGTCGTAGTTCAGATCAGCAAGCTTCCGCTTGGCGTTAACTACTTGGGCGAGACAAAAAAGCCACTACGGAGTAATGGATTAATTGTTGCTCAATCCCGCAATTCCATAATCGTATGTTTAAATAGTGCAAAGCAGGCAAATTATATTACGGAGTACTATAGTGATCATTGGTGAACGCCTTAAAACATCATCCTAACATACTAGCTATACAGAGTAGAAAGAATCACTATTAAATGATGTCTAGCTAGAGGTTTTTTAAGATAATTTCAATCATCAAATACGGCCTAGGCAGGCTCCTTGTATTCTTGGAAGCCCTAAATAAATATAAAGTATAGCTTCTGCAAGGTCGCACAGACCTACCTAGGTAGTATACTCGCTCGCATATTCATAAAAAGGGATGTCTCCAACGGCTTAAATGTGACCACAATGCTCTATACCTTTGTAGTTGCTTTCATCTTCTTACCGATCATATTTGCCTCTTCAACTCCGTCTATCCCCGTGTCTTAAAAAACGAAACTAGTCCCGATCAAAAATACATGGCAGACACTATTGTGTCGATCGAATTCTCGTATCATTCTGCAGGTACGTTTATTACTACCGAGCGGAAAGGGCACGGATCACAGTGCAGACCAAGACGATCGCATGGAATAGCCGATACATACTTCAACTGGGCCTTAGCGTTGGGGGCACGGGGTACTCCGGTACATTCCAAGGTTGTATCAGATAGAGAGATAATGGCGAGCTAAGTCTCAGAATGTTGTGGTCCAGACTGCGGATCCAATTAATTAAATAACTCGGTATCTGATGGATATGACGGGTAGGGATCTCCGACGGTTGTGTATCCAGTTTTACCGTTTGATTTGGATAATACATGCATGTCTACTACTAGTCCTGTATACCTGCAATTTGCTCTTTGATGTATCTTATCAATCAGAGAAAGGGAGCATTGCTCTAAATCAGATCGTTACCCCGTATATGACTCCAGACGGTAGGTCTCCCTGAAAATCGTGTATCAATATTCCCCATAAAATGTTAAAATGCAATAATAAACAATGCAATATTAATAATATAGAATATACACCACTTCTATAGTTTCTACCGCATTTGGCCAGCATTTCCCTTTTCGGCCATTGAGCCAAGGCATTCAAATAAGAGTCATGATGTCAATGCCCTACTGTTGTATATAAAATGAGGAATACTTCGAATGTTCAGGGTAAAACAGAATACATATTGGCCCCAATACAACTAAGATATTTCACGGAGTAAAGTACTGTTACTGTTACCGTGAAGAGACTAAACTAGACTCGAGTGGATATTCAACTTCCAGGGGTCAGGCCTGCTTTTTTCTTCTCTCCCTCTCCCCCGTTTCTTCGAGAACTTCTCGAATAATTTTACTTCCAAGGATTCTACCTTGTACGCAAACCTAAAGGACTTACAATTTCAGTCCTTTTTCTGACGTTGAACAAGAAATTTCTTCAGCTCTGCGCCCGGCTGCACTGGGATAATTTCCGAGCCCGCTTTGGTCCCCGTCACTTTTCCTATTCGACTCTTATTTTTTTTCTTCTATTTTTCTATTTTAATTCCTAATTCCTTCGGATTTATCTTCCACTCGAAAAAAAACAAGTCTTGAAGAAAAGGAAAAGCATGCCTCGTTCATGAAAACTTCAGTCTTGCGCCGAGAATGCGACCGAACCCACAACCCATCTTCAGAGTCATAGGGGACACCAATCGATATACTTGAGGAAAGAGATATGGACATGATGGCACTGGGGTTCTCAGCCGCAACCGCCTCTGGCGTCGACCTACACTCCAACCTGAGCTCGACACTGACCGCAACCTCCTCCTCGTCCCTGAGTTCACTCACGGACTACTCAACATACCCTCTAATGCGCCAGGGTGACCGCACCTACTTTCGCGACCCGGAGAACGTCTACCCTCTGCCCTGCGACCTGCCCGAGATCCACCGCCAAAGCCTGCGCACGTTGATGCTGCTGCGCGTCCTCGGCGGCCCATTTTGCAACCCCCACTTAGCCAATCGGCCGCCCAAACGCATCCTGGAGATCGCATGCGGGTCCGGGCTGTGGTCTGGTCTGTGCCACGAATACTTCGCCCGCAGGGGCCATCCCGATGTGGCTTTTGCCGGGATAGATGTTATCTCCATCGCGCCGGATCTGCGCAAGCAGGGAATGAACTGGCAATTCAAACGTCACGATCTACGCCGACCCCGCCTGCCCTTCCCGGACGACTATTTTGATTTCGTGTTCATTAAAGATGCCGGCATGTGTCCTTCCAGTCCGGCGCAATCTGCATCGGGCTTGAGTGAGCCCCTGCGCGTGCTGAAGTCCGGGGGGATCCTGGAGGTGTGGGATTCGGATTGGAGCTTCCGCTCGCTTCTGCCTAATCCGGCTCCGGCGCGAAAAACAACCTCGAAAGAACAGGAGATCGCCGACGCAACGGCTACTTATACATTCTCCTCTGCCACGCCATTCACACGAGCGCAGAACAAGTTCGTGGTTGATTATAACTCCTGGGTGGAGAAGTCGTTCGACCGTCTCAAGTTGACAGCGCTCCCGTGCGCGACTATCGGTCTATCCTTCAACTCCGAAGTGGACTTGTTGGAAAATGTCGACAGTCGCCGCGTCGCAATCCCACTAGGTGACTTGCGCTGGGAGCGAGACAGCCAAGGCAAGGATTCCAAGAACCGTCCACGAAAGGCCCTGACTCCAGAGCAGATCTCCATCCGGCGCACGGCTCTCCTCACCACAATCCAGATGATTGAAGGGCTGGAGCCGATATTGATGGAGTCTAGCGGAAAGGGCCGTGACGAATGGGACCGATGGTGGGCTGCAATGACAGCCGACCTCTTGCAGAAAGGTGGACTCGCCAGCGGCGAGTGCCTTGAAGTGAGCGCCTGGTGGGGTCAAAAAAAATGAGCCCCTTGAGTCAATTTGGAGTTCCGGTGGGCAAAAGTCAAGTAGTGACCGTTTCTGCACTTTGTATTGGTGATACCCCCAATTTTATTTCTGTATTTCTGGGTTTCTAACATGCATATGATCTGGACATTTCTGGAGAAGAGGTGAGGGCCATGGAAATATTAGGCCTCACTTCCATATCGCTTTTTCAGCGTTCGGTACCGCTTCAAATAGTACCTGGGTTTTGTTATCTTGTTAGTTGCCATCAACGCAAAAGTCTTGTGATGGAGGTCAAAATAGTTCTTGCATGATGCCATGATAATGAGGAGTGAAACTATGCACAGTGTATCTAGCCAGACACTACCCCCATTATGGGTGCAATGTATAGAAGAATGACATGTACGAATGATTCCACTGCGCTTCCAAATGATTGTAATCCAGCATTATAGGTAGTGAAACGAGGATGGTCGGATGCGACAGTGCGATATAGAAGGTAGGGAGGAAAGGGAGGGATGTAGGGACCAGTCTTACAGCGCTTCCACTTCTGCATTAAACAATTAGCAACATACCCTTAACTGCAACCGAGGGATAGAAATCCCAGCAAAAAAGACAGCACTTACCTTTCTTCACAAACTCAGCCCTCGCTATTCCCTTGCGAATCTGCTCATCGTCGGTAATCTGAGTCTGACTTGCAAACGCACGGTGTAGCCGATCCCGGAAATACTGATAGCCCAGAGGATATTCCCGTCCTAAGAACAAAAGCTCTACATCTCGGGTTATTAGTATGTAACAGATGACCGACTTAAGACCGAAAGGAAAAGGAATGCAAATCCCTGCATGACGCGTACAACTTCGTACCTTTGTAGACGTTGATGACCTGCCGGCGCAGCTCGGGATTTACCATTGTTGCTCCATCAAAGAACAAGGATTGTTCTGATAGAGGTTGTTGGTGGTGGAGATGCGGTGCAATGAAGGTAAGCGGCTGAGAAGCTTCCAGGCTTCCGGTGTTATCGGTGACGTGCCTAGCGGAGTTACTGTCCATGATAGTTATGTGGATTTTCTATACTCTATATACTACCTACTTTTGAAGCAATTTGGATATTTGTTTCTCATGTCTATATCCACTTACGAGACTAAAAACGAATTACAAAATATGCATAAAATAATATCAATACAGTCAAACCCCCTATATTCACGCGGGGTTCTAGCCGACCTGACCTCGGATACTGGCCCAAGCTTCGGGTTATCGGTTATCGGCGGAGAGCTGTCCAGGTGCTGGATCCAACATTGGAACTGTCTCTCCACAACTACGGAATATGCTCCCTCAATCGGCTTTTCGAGCGCAGCTGTCTGCCTCAATCTCTCTGTACTCAAATGGCACCCGTCGTCTCTTCTCTGCAACTTCCGCGGCAACCTTCAATGGCCAAAATCCCCCCGATTCGACCCCGATCAATCCACGATGGCTCACAATGACCAAGCGAAGGGTTGGGAAGTGTATGATGTTTGGGATGAACCCAGCTCAGATTGACGAGGGGGGAAAGATTCTACAGCAATTGGCCAAGGAATGGCGGGAACTGATTGCTGGTAGTGAGGGATTCCTCACGGATAAGAAACGGCGCAGTCTGTTTCGCCATAATGTGGTCTGGGGAGAACAGGTATGAGCTTGTGCTATATTGCTTTGTCTGCGTTGTGGATAAAAGTCATTAATTCTAAGTCTGCTTGTGGTGGATTAGGATATTATGGTGAGAACATTCGTGCCCCCTACCTGTTGCGCTTACTGCATGGACTATCTTGGATCTTTGGGCCAAAGTTAACTTGGATAATAGGGTATGCTCCGTCCCTTTACTTTGAATCTGCTCCGAGCCAATTTATAGATCATCCCGTACTAATTAGTCCAAGGTCACGTCAACAACGTTACCTATGTTCGATACGCCGAAACAGCTCGAGTGAACTGGACGCGCAATATCGGCAATTATATCGATACCGCACATAAGAAAGAATGGATAAACATGCTTGGTAGTACGGGAATCGGGCTCATCCTGAAGAGTATCAAGGTGGACTACAAATTTGTACTGTATCCCAGAGACCCAAGCCCCACACCGCTAGGACAGCAACTAAGTAGACCTGTTTACTCACTATCACGCAGCCCATGGAATCTCCAGACAAAATTACTGTCTATCAAAGGTTAATCCCAGACCCATCTCGGCATCTTTCAGCCCAATCGGCATTCCGACTCGAAGTCATGATCTTGTCTGAAGCCCACCAACGACCTGCTGCTCGTTGCTTCGAGGATATCGTGATCTATGATTACAAGAAGAACCGCAAGACTGTCAATGTCCCGCCCTTTGTCATGGAGCAGTTTGAGACCATGTGGAAGCAGCAGGAGCAGGAGAAGAAGAACTGGAGGCAGCAGATTGTTGAGATAGAAAATCGGGTCCGGAATCTTGAGCTTGAAAGCTGGGATCGGGCCGATGCTGTGGAGGACAACGGGTCTGCGTCACAGTGATTACAATGGGGCAGAAATGTTGAAGAGTAGATCATATGGGGCTGCGGAGGACCATGTTTCCATGTCATTTTTGGGGGCACTTGATTGACAGCCGCAGTTCTCTGCGCTTTGTACATACGCATTCCAAGTCTCAAGAATGCCTAAATAATGGAACCTCGGGCGAGGAGGGGAACATGGTCATATTATTAATAGTAGCAGTGGCAATGACCGACATCACATTTCAACGTTGATTATAGGCCAAATTGGCTTGGGACTTAACCCAGGTGTAATTAGTACAGGAATGGCACCCGCGGGCTTGGAAGTGTCACATTATGTATGCACTATGTAGTTAGCTGGGTCTAACCCGTGATCAACAGCAGCCCTAACTCATGATTCAACTGCTCTCTTGGTTGCTCCCCGGGTCTCTAACTCTAAATTTACCTGTTGTTTTAGGGACCTGCAGGCATCAGCTGGGTGGGTGTATTATTAACGTTCTTCATATCGCCGAGGAACCACCTTAACCTACGGCGCAGTCTATGACATATATAACATGAGGGTCGCATCCCTACAAATGAAAGCAAGACAGTAAACACCTCTCAGCTCCACTGTCAAACAACTCAAAGCTTCAACCTCTTTGCAATCTCAATCCCCTCCGCAATGGATCCCACCCGGGCATCAATCGCATACCCTTCACACTCCAACTTTTGCAACTCAGCCGAAAGCCGCGACACTGGAAGTGTGAAACAATCAATAAACTCATTATCCTCGAGATCAGGCTTTGGATTCTGGTTTTCCGGAAGAGACATGTCAACCTGAACGTAAACCATGTTGAAATTAGCATTGCAGAACCCGGGATCTGGGTAAATATCTCAAGTCAGCTAATATTCAGCAGTAAGACGAACAATAGGCCCACCAACCATTGTACATGATACCAGTAGTTTTATCAGCAACGCCGATGTACCCAGTCTCTTCTTTCAGCTCTCGGACTGCAGTTTGCTCAATTGTCTCCCCTGCGTCGATCAACCCTGCGGGGAGTTCTATGACAACTTGGTCGATTGGAGGCCGGTATTGCTTCTCTAAAAGAATCTCAGAGCCATTCATATTATTCAGAAAAGCGACGATGTTGACTCCATCGACTGGGGAGTCTGTAGGTCTTGTCTACGATTTGATTAGGTCGTTACAATTGCATATATATATTTAATTTCGGAATTCATACCTGGCGCTCAGCGGACTCCCAGTCTCTCTTGACTCCATTGGGATCAATGTAGTTTGTTTTGACTAGTCTTTTCCATTTGGCTTCTTGGGAAGTCTAAAGGCCATAAGTAGCTGAGAGTATGTCAGGCTAGGAACACATACCAAGGGCTCTCGTGAGAGAAACGTGGACTTGAGTTTTGTCATTTTATGTATTGACCCCTCGGCATTTCAGAATGGGAATTGAACTGCGAGTAACTCTGACCTGAGTACTAGGTCCTAGGAATTGTCCCGGTTGATTGCAATCCAAGGTGGGTAGCCCTGGAGGTGCCCGCGGGGGGGACATTAGATGACTAATGCAGTACTGGCCCCAGGGCCTGCCCAGGTGCCAAGCAGCAAAGGTGCCGCCCAGTTTGACAGCCTTGGGAGTGCTATATGGCACTAATATTTTTTAACCTAACTACCGTGCCATATCACTTTTACCTATTTCGAATTGGGACTTCGAATCATCTTCGCCCCCGCACACTCCCTTGGCAGCATCGTGCTCTTGGGAGACACTGCCTATGAGACGGCACCACTGTTCTACATGTATGACAGTGATATAACTAATCGCACATCTGTTCTCGGTCCGCAAGATTTCTTCACTTATAGACGAAAATGGAGTCAAGCCTTGCGTCGCTGCCTGTGACAATCATGCCTGCGGAATCTCGGCGCTAGCGCTGCTTCGGAATGTCAAAAGGTTTATCCTGGATGTGCTCCGGGGGCCGATGTTGACCTCTTTCTGTTAGGGAAGATCATCTTGGAGGGAAGAATACAAGATACTTTGAAGGCAACGGTAGGCAATATCGTGCCCAGAAGAGTCACTTTAAGATATATTGGAGTTTATACTGGGTCCAGTCGTATTGGAGACTTTGGTGACGACGGGTCTACGACATCTACATGTATGTAGCTAGGTAAGTAACTACATAGGGTTCAGGCCCCGGGTGTAGTAGTAATTTGATGATCGCACCGGCCAAGATCAGCCAAAGAAATCTTAGTTCAATTTAAGGTTAACATTATGCGGGGGATGGAATGTGAGCCTCAGGTCACTTTTCCCGTCGAAGTGTGTAATTTTCATTTATTGTGTAGAATACTATATATCCCTTGTTCATTCCTTGGGGAGTTTACGCACGGCTTTCTTTTCATAACAATTCTACAGTCAGTACTGGATGAAAAAGAGATATGCAATGCAGATATCCCGTTACAGACACCCTAAGCGGAATTTGAGTATATGGGCCATATCTTTCTGATACATTTCTGCTTTGAGATATACTATATAGGCAGTATCCATGTGCATACTCGTGGAGAATACATTATTTGCGCTAGGGTTCCTGGTGGTTCAGGATATTTCAATTGGTATACACACTAACTACATACGGCCGAAGTAAACTCTAAAAATATTTGCCTCGACGAACCCCAAAAGATTAGATTGATCAATTGATTGGACTATGAAAGGCCCGCAGCGGACATTCGTCGGAGTGAATGCATTAAGCTCTTTATAGAGACCGAGAAAGCTCCATAAGGTTAACTAAAGTTTTATATCAATTATTACACCCGGAGACCCTGCCGTACTAGGAGGTGAGAGCCGGAACCAGTAGGAAAAGCGAAAGGATCGACCTTTAAAACCCGAAGTTTATCGGACCCAAGCAAAATCCGGTTCTAAAAGGGACTAGGCAGACACGCTAGTGCAAGTTGTTGCAATTTTCCAGAATGATGGACCTTATTTTCTGAACTTTAGACTGGAAAACTGGAAATTTGGAAGTGTAAAGTGCTAAAGAAGTGATCAAGAAGGGTGTTCGATATAGGTGCTACAATGGTAGGGCTCACCGCATGCATAAAAATAACTTAAGCCATCACCAAGCCGGCCGTCGGGCCGATCTTTACTAAGTTTGTGGCTGATCTACGAAACCCTCCAGGGCTGCCAAGGCCCGGGTATCGTATAGGAGGGGGGAGGATCGGAATTGGCAAGGCTGTACGGAGTAATTGAATATATCTTCTTCTCAAGGATATCCTCTTTATAATGTAAATAGATATTTAGTTTGCACGGTCAATCTTGATATGTCCTCAAACATCACCTTTTTGAAGATGTATGGGCCCATACTCGTACTCGTACAACAGATCTGTGCGAAGCCCTTCAGGAAGATGCACGAGATAGCCGAGCATGTGATGATCCTAGCAAGAATGTGGACAACCCTGTTGATACACACGTTTGATACATACAAGCTTCAGTTCCCCATACTTACTTCCATGATGCTCTCCATGCTCGGGATTGCGTGTTCATGCCTGCAGGCGCATCTGTCTGCAAGCAAGTCTCCAAAGAGTAATAACCACATCATGATCTAAGGATTCGTAACACATATCATAAATCCGGCGCAAGGATAACCCCGCAGCAGACGGGTCCAAAAAACGGTCGATCGTCAATCCAGTTAGTCGATTTGACAGCAAATAGGGACCGAAGATCTGAACAGGCTTCCACATTGATCTTTACATCGTAGGTTGTACTCTGTGGCCACTAGCTTATCAGCACTACGGAGTAGTCAACCCCATTTTGAAGAAAGTCCGCATAGTGCCGAGGCAACGGAAACCAGCCGGTATCGTAAAATTGTCTGGATAAAGCGAAGACACCCTTAGGATTGGCCGATGTGTAGGTATCCGCGTTGCAGGACTTGGCAACTGCAGCCGTTGTAGCTCCTAGGGGGCGTGACCTGTCAATAAGCCCTAGAGTATCGTAAGATACGGAGGTGTTCAGAGAAAGAAAGCTTGGCAGTGGATTGACCGTGCTGAATGGGATTTTCCATGCAGAAACTCCAGATCGACAAAGAAGCCAAGGGAATATATTACCAGGAGCTCTTTAATTTGAATTTGCAATCTGCCATCCAAGTACACAGTACCAAAGTGAAATAGTGGCGGATAGTATTGAAGCCAAGTACCGCCTACCCGAAAGGCGCCAGTGATCGACATAGAATGACAATACCAATACCAATTCTGTTTCTTTCGACTTCATACAATTCCACCTGGGCACTTTTTCCCCTTCACGCTTCCACGTAGAGCGTCGTCTCTTGCCTTTCTCTCTTTTTTCTCTTTTTCCTTATACATCTACTTCCTTTTCTTTCCTATCTTCATTACAATACGAACCACTCTACACCATTTCCTTCCCCCACCATATTCAATTTTAGTCCGTTTTCGCCTTTTTCCTGGTCCCAGTCCTTGGCTTCATCCCGCCAAGCTGACTCGGACCTGGGTTTCGGGCTCCCTCGTCCATGACACGCTCCGCTGCATCTAGGAAGAACCAGAGCAATCGGCAGGAGAATGGCCTTGTCGGTCCCGGCAAGAAAGTAACCAAGCAAAAGTCAAGCGGCCATCTCAACGGCAACTCGGGCAACGGCTCTGCTACCGGTCCGGGCGCGTCCGCTCAATTCGATTTATCCTCCGTACGGTCTACTAGCGACACGGCCGTGGCATCTCCGACATTTTCCGGCAAAGGAGGGGATAGCACGAAGGCAGATGGCAATGTGCGTGGGATGTTGAATGGACATAGCAAGGCCGGAGAAATGGCATCCGCGCAGGAAAACGGCGACGTCGCCCAGAATGGTGGCATAACAGGTCATGCCTCTCGCAATGGAAACTCGAAACGATCCGGATCCAATGCCTCGATTAACCCGCTTCAGCTCGCATCCACTATCCTCAAATCGTGCCCCATGTACGACACCATCGCCATCTTGATTTTTCTGCTACAGCTCCCACCGATGGTCTTGACTCTGGTTCAGTTCTTGTTCGCCTCCTTGACTTTCATGCCCCCGAGTGGCGCCGCGGCCGGTTCTTTGTCGTCGAACTTCGATATTTTTCAGGGTCCGGCTGGGACGCCATCTCTGGGGACAATGATTGCGATGGATGGGTTTTGCATACTTCTCTGGGGCCTCTTTATGTGGACCTGGGCGCAAAACTTTGCCATCGATCTCGCTCATGTCCAGGTTGCTATCACCTTGGGTGGCGGGGGTTCCGGAAAGAACGGCGGGGTCAATGCTCTCTGTGTCGGAATTGTTCTGCTTCTTCATCTTGTTCGCAGTAAAGGAATTCAGGACTTTGTCTTGGGTCATCTTGTCTCTGCTAAACTGCTCAGTCCCGATCTTCTCTCCCAATATTCGCACTTGCTACCCGCCGAGTTCCGACGCTCTGAAGCACAAACGTCTCCGAGCTGGCTCCGAAGTCTTCTTGCGGTGCACATTCTCGCACAAGCCGGAACAGCCATGGCACGACGCTCGATGGCCAAGAATCGATCACCGACACCCTTACGGACCGGCAAGCGGGGAGATACGGAGGCTTCTGCGGGGTCACAGGGACAAGCCGATTCTGCTCTAGAATCTGCTGCCAGCGTTTCGTCTTCTTTCGTGGGACCTGACGGTCAGTTGAAAGACGGAAAGGATCGTTTCACTTCAGCCAAGAAACGCAGACGACAAGCCAATCAAGTTCGGAGCCGACAGCCGTTCTGGGCTGCGCTTGCAAGTACAAAGGTCACGGTAATGAGGGAATATGAACATTCGCGGGCTGTTTCTAAGACAGCCCGCAATCTCACAATGACGGAGGAGGATCTGCAGGGTGTTTCTCTCGACGACGGGTTAATATGGATTACGGATGTGGATAGCTCTTCGATCAAATTCGCCGCGGGTGAATTTACCGATGACCCCGCTGTGTCAGGTTCCTTTGAAGCCGGCCGTTTGGGAGCAGACATGGAACCGTTCTATGTCTGCGTCAATGGTGCGCTCTGGGCTACCGCTTCGATATGCAGGGTTTCAGATGCTAAGGGGCCGAGCGTTGTCCAATGGCGGGGCGAGATCGCTGGACTTGCTCCCAACTGCGCCTACACATGTGCATTTGTACGAAGCGATACCGACGAGGAAATCTGTGTCATGAGTGTCAAGACGCCCACAACGACTGACACAGAGCAAGGTAAGTTCACGCTAAATTACAAAATTCCTTTTTTCAATAAGCTCATTGCTTGAATAGTGATTTCCGCGGTATCGACACCACCACAGCCGACCTACCGTCCATCATCCCCCACAACAACGCTCAAGAACTCTATCAGCAATGCGGAATCCAAGTTGAATGAAAAGCGGAACCGTTTGAAAAAGACGAAGAACGACCACAAAGCTGTTATCTCGAAAATCCGGAAAGAACTCGAGAACTTTAATACTCGCCTCCACAGCGGAAGTGATGAGAATCGCCAAAAGCAGCGTTCGCTTCAACTGGAACGAAACATCCGGCAAACCGAAGAAGCTACTGCGGTGCTAGAGGTACAACTCGACACCATGGAAAGTGTTCCCGAGGAGGAGATGGAAGAATGGGCGGCACACAAAGCGGATTTCGAACGTGAGGTGGAACTTTTCAATTCGACCAAGGAAGAGGTTACTGCTGCTCGGACGGCTGCGGCTCAGCAGGTGGCGGCACTGGAGTTGGAATTGACTCAGGCTGTCCAAAAGCGAGAGCGTCTCCAGGGTCGCCGCACCCGGGTGAACGAGCAGTATGAGCGTATCATCTCGGCCAATGCACAAGGGTTGAATGAGAGAGAACGCCGGGCTGCCGAACAATTTGCCAGGGAGCAGGACCAGTCAAAGATGGAGACCAATTTCCATGAACAATTTGGGAGCATCAGCCAATCTGTACAGGATTTCCAGCTGCGCACGAGTCAACTCTGGCAGCAGGCATCTGCAATTGAGCAATCCATTCAGCAACAACAGCAGCAGATGCTCCTCGAGTCTGGTCCTCTTACCCCCGAAGGCAACTTGCCCGGCACCAACCCTCTACCTGAAACCAGTGGTCCGTCGTTCAACGCATCTACGATCTCCGCACCTAGCGCTCGATCTCTGTTGGGGGGTCTCAGCTTTCCTCCTGCGAGGTCTAGTCCACTACAGATTTCGTCTTCTCCAGTCCATGAAATGCCGTCAAATCCAACTAGCCCATCGCAAGACCTTCCTTTCCTCCCACAGTTTCCAACCTCTCCCATCGGCAACGCGGGCTCATACTTCGGGTCAGACATCAACCACCGAGACCGTTCGTTCTCCAACCGCTCCACTCGCAGCAGCCAATACGGCTCTGACTTCTTGGACACGAACCGCTTGCCACCTCTTCAGCTTGACCTAGCCGAATTGCTTGGTGAGACCAAGCCTCGGCCTGGGTCCGATGGAAGTGGGTTCTTGCATCAAGGTGGCCGTCCGGTTTTGAGCCCTTTCCAGCGAGCAGTAAGTCGAGGTAGTGGCACTGGTAGTGGTAGTGGTGGCAGTGGCAGTGGGACTGGCAGTCCGCGCTCGTCGCGAGACTAGTTCTCCCGGTGTTTGCTTCCGTGGTCTCATGCCTAGCTGCGCTGTCAAACCGATGCTCGATCTCAATTCCATGCTTGTCTTCCGAGAAGTGGCCTCAAGTTTTGTGCGTCCGTGCTTTTGGTTCTGTCCAGTTGGATTCCCGCCTTGTGCTAGTCAATATCTTTCTCGTCGGCCTACACTCTGATGACTCCTGGTTTCTTGGGTCATTGTGGTAGTGGCACGCATCTCGGATGAGTTAACACCTATATGGAGGATTCGATCGAAGTGAGATACATGGCAGCTCTGTTCCTAACACCGAAAACCAAAAGTGTTCCATACTCGGTTCTTGTATACTCTCTCTCACAAAAAGCGTAGACGCATCAATATCATGAAAGCATTTCTCATCTTGCATTTCTCATCTTCATCTCTCCATACCTACTGTAGGATCATGTAAATGATAGGCTGTTGAAATTGGCTGTGATACCATATGTCTAATTAAAAGTCTATATACAGCCCAAACGCCGTATTCCCAAGTATATATACAGTGCTTCTCCGGAAGGCATAGGCGATGAAGCATTCTTCATCTATGGCTCAGATGAAACTAGACATGCCAGACAACTGTGCCAGCTTAAAGTTCACCTCCCATCTTCCAAAATTTAGTATTTGCATACGTTAGACAAAGCCGCTCAGGTGAATGTTCATCCAAGACCTTGCCATCCGGTCCCTGCACCGAAACAGCCCCAGAGCCCTCGATCGCCCGAACAACAGTACCCAGCACAATCGAGTGATCATGCACATCAATCTTCTGCGGATGTAGGGTACATTCGAAAACGAAAGGAAATTCAACACCATCATTCGCAGCTGCTGCTTCGGCCCTCCGCTTAAGAATAGGAAGCGGTCTTTGAGGACGCCCCTCCTCGTTCTCAGTAGGCAAAGCCGCGAACTCAAACTCCCCATGTCCTCTCAACATAGTAGCGAGGGTGACATTCCCCCTCGAGAAATCCCTGGCCAGAGTAGCAGTCGCCGGACCCGGTGCAAGCAAATGAACCAGAAACCGGCGCGAAGCAAGCAAAGCATTCAAGGTCTCCGATGGGCGGCGTACGTTGAACGAGATCACAGGGTGTGGGGTGAGAGTGACGGTGCTAAAGGAGGAGACGGTCATGCCGCGGAAGGAGGTTGTGTTTTCTGGACCGGAGGGATCGGTTGCTGTTATGATTGCGACGGGGTAGGGGACTCGACGCATGAGGAGGCGGACTTGGTCGGATATAGATGTCGAGAGTGTTGGCGGTTGCGGTACGTTGTCTGCATGGGATGGGGTATTGACCTTCCCTGTGCAGTCATTTTCTTTTAAGGGGGCTGTGGCATTGCTGATATATCGTCGTTGATCGTATCGTGATCGGTATTGGTTATATGGTACAGGCGGAGAGTTTCGGAGGGAGAGAGATGTTCCCAGGAACAAGGGTGTATAGTTCTTAATGCATAATAGTTCTAACGGTTCCCGTTAGTACACTTGAAAGAGGCACTTGGAAATACATCATGGCAACCTACCTCCGAGTCCTGTCCGAGCAGTCCCATGCACGACTGGAAAGGCGAGCTTCATCCCGCCGGCCTGAAATTGACGGAGCTTTGTGAGGCACTCAGGGGATCACGCAGGGCACAAAATCACAAATATCTAGACTCTGCCAATTCATGTCTAAATCTCCAGTAAAAGAGAGAGACTCACAGAAACATGGGGCAGTATGAAGTCATGCGAAACTCCGAAGTTATGAAAATCCCGAAAAGAACAGACCCGCTTACATAACCCGCGATAATTTCTCTGCTATAGCATCAACTTCACAACCTCCGCAACATCCCCGATAGCATTGCGGCCCCGTCAACCTCCGCCCACCCCTCCAATCCCCATTATTATTTACATCGGCATTGCCGAAACAACCCACCCAACATGTCAATGCACACCTCCCTCCGCCGCACCGCGGCCACAATCACCAACTCAACAACCACCATCCTCCCTACAAGACTCCCCACGCAATCGAGCGGCACAACCTTCGTCTGCTCGCAATGCCGACACGCAACTCTCCTCCGCCGCCCCAAGCGCCCCTACACCTTCACACAGCTCATCACCCTCTCGGACGGCAGCACCTTCACGCACCGCACGACCTCGCCGGCCCCGATCTACCGCAGCACGCGCGACACGCGCAACTCCCTCCTCTGGAACCCGTCCAGCAGTAAGCTGATGAACGTCGAGGAAGACGAGGCCGGTCGTCTCGCGGCTTTCCGTGCTAGATTCGGTCGCAGCTTTGATGCCAGTGCGCCTGCTGCTGCAGAAGAGGCGGCTAAGGACCCTGTTGCTGCTAAGCAGGCTGAGAAGGAGGCTCAGGCTCAGGCTAAGGAGGAGCAGGAAGAGGAGGATAACTTGCTTGATTTGATTAGTGCTTTCGGACAGAATGAGGCGCCGCCCCCGCCTGAGAAGAAGGCTCCCAAGTTCGGTGGAAAGAAATAGAGGGCTTTGGATTTCCCGGATTGAATCAGGTTGTTCTGGTTTGAGCCGCCGCTTGGATGGGAGTTGGGATCTTCTTTTGCTTTTTTTGTTTCCTTTCTTTTGTGTTTTTGATCTTGTACAATATACATATGTCTGGTATGAGCCTGCTGTATTATACCAAGAATTCATCTTTTCTCTCATCCATGCTACATATATTTCAGGTCTATGCTGATGCCATGGGAGTTGAAAGCATTTCTTTCTCCAAATCTCCTGAGATCGGTGAGAGTCGATGACCTGCGATACAGCCTGGTCCATGCTGCTCATTGATATTCCGCTGCTTGATAGGAGTGGTCTGCGGCAGGTATCGGTCTAGGGCCAGAGGAAGACATACTTCTATTATTCGGGACAGTATAATTGAGTAGGGTGGATAATGAATTTATTTGCTACAATACGCGAACAGTGGTATTCGGAGTGAAGCGGAAATAGAAGGAAAACACAAAGCTTCTCAGCTTGCTGAGGATCATCATCAGTTGCAGCATAGCATAAACAAACATCGCGAAAGGGCTGTCCCATAATGAATACAAACCGGCGAGGTAAATCGGCGCTAGTTTCGAGGTTGTGAACAAACACCCGGCAGAGGAGGGATATTAGGCGTCATCCTCCGCGGCCAGTAGTCCCGTTTCCGGGCCCGGCTCTGTGGGCTCTGCCGGAGCGGGTGCATCGCTCGCCTCGGGGGGTACATAATACGGAAGTCCTTCCTCGCCAGCGTCTAGACGCAGAAGGAATGTCTCCCAGAGTTCGATCAACTGTAGCTAGGGTTAGCTGGATGAAATAAACCCGCAAGAGTTGGCAAGAACTTACCTCTTTCTGGGCTTCAACTGCACTTTCAAGGAAGGTTTCTACTCCAGACTTGAAGTCCTCTACCTTCTCCTTCTCAAACCGTTGTAGCTCGTTCCGCATAAGCCGGCCCATATCCTCGAAGAGCAGCCGTGTTTGGTGCACTTTGCGCTCTGCATCTGCGACGTCGGCGTTGATTTGGTTCAAGCGGTCTTGCTGAGTCTTTCCCTGGCGGAGTAGCTTGTCTTGGTTATTCTTGCGCTTCTGTAGGTCGGACTCTGCTGCATGCCAGGTGTGGAAGGCCTTTTGCCGCTGCGTGAAAGCCATCTTGACACTTCCAATTAAACGGATATATTCATCGATCGTGATTCCAAGCGTCAGAACATCCTGCTGCGCCTGTCGGTCATAAAGTTCCCGAATGCGCAATTGGAGTTCTGACAAGCCTTCCAGTGGATAGGAGAGGGCGGGAGACAGCTCGACAGCAGATAAGGCATGCAATGAGCTCGAAAAGTCGCCTGCGGCCTCGGCCAGTCCCTTTCGTTGTAGAACCACAGTGTCCATTGATTTCAGTAGAGCCTTCAGCTGGTTCTCCAATGCATCCAAGTAGACTTTTCGGTCGTGGAACCACTATCTACATGTGAGCAGGTGAGACCGACATAACAGAAACGATTCACTTACATCGTCGTGTTCCACAAATTTGGTTCCTCCACCAACGGAAATACCGAAGGAGCTCAGCATTCCCTTGCTTGGGCCAATATCAGGCTCTCGATTTTCCTTATTCTTAACATCAACGGTGAAAGCTTCACTTTCCAGGAAGATTTTCAGATCGCCATCATGTTGAAGAATAGGATGGCCGGCAATTTTGTTAAGCATTCGTTCCAAAGCAGCTCTCCTCGACTCTACGAAGTTAGTATCAAACCGGCCAACTGCTTGCTTCTCGGGCGGAGGCGCAACAACCACTCCCGGGTTACTGCCGTGCAGGGAGTTGTAGAGCCAGAGGAAATCCCGGTATCGACGGCTGACAGTGAACTCGGGATGGCGATAGGCCTTGGATGTTGTCTAGCCATACCAATTGATGTCAGCTTCTTCTTTCCAATCTGTAGGCCTCACGTCCGTGTAGTGCAATTACCTTCGTCGAAACTTGATAAACAATGTGACTGCTTGTCAGGTCTCCCACTTTGTGCGGATCTCCGACATAGATCTGGAAAGTCGGCTTCGCAGCCCGCTCCACACTCATGCTAGGCTGCGTCTGTCTTTTCGGTCCATCCGCTTGCACCGGCGGTTGCACGGGAGGGGGTCCTCGGAAGACCGCGCTCTCCTCTTCCACATTGGCCAAGTCCGCTGCCCCCACTCCACCGGGTGCCTGGGAGGTAGAGGAGAGTGCTCGTACGCCACGTCCGGCGAACGGCTCCTTCTGGGGCGGTGCTGGTGCCTCATCTGTGGGTGTTGGGGTGGCCTCGGCGGGCGCTTCTCCCAATGGACCGAGAGGGTCGACGGAATCATCGACGGATTCGAGTTTAGTGGCTTGTGCGCTGATCTTTCGTGTCCCTCGTGGGCCTCTTCTTCCTGGTACGCGGACAGCGGGCGAGCTGTCTGACGCGGGGGTTTGCGCAGCTGCTGTATGGTAGAGTGCGCTTAGTGAGGGGTCGTGGAAAGAGCGAACAGGACAAATTAAACATACCAGCTGCCTGAGTGCCGGGTTTGGAGGAGCCATCGCTGGGCTTGAACTGTGAAGGCTCATCTGCATCATAAATCAGACCGCGATTCAAAGAGCTGTGGTATCATGACTGCCTACCGCCCCACGGAGAATCTCCAGAGTCGAGATCCATTGTTACCGGTATGAGATCGAAGCGAAAGGAAGGGGATAACAGCGAGAATATGAATCAACGAATTAATATTAATGTTGGTTCAGTCGGAGTTTAGAAGGTGCGGTATGGAGTTGGAGAGGGAGCTGGTTGGAGTGGAGGCCGATCCGCATCCTTAGTCACTCACGGGATCTAGAGTCCTGGAGTCCACCCCATGGTGTTTTCGTCTTGACTTGTTCAACTACTTTGCCATTGGCACTGCTTGCTATTTATTAATGTTCATGACGAGACCAGTCCACTCATTGCAAGCCACTACCCGGTTATCTCTGCCCAGCCCCTGGCTAGCTTGTTCTAAATGTCCCATGTCACAATACGTCACATCATTTCAATTGGAGCTTCTTCATGTCGGGGTAATATATCCACGATTTTCCCAGCTCAAATCACCATCAGCATAAAACAGGTCATTAGAAACTGCGCAGTATCTATTTGACCCACGGGAGGCCCAGCTTGTGCATTTCCACAGCCAGCTGGAAGATGTAATCCAGACTCTCACACTGAGTCTTCGCCTTGGCAGTGTTATCACCCCAGACGTAACTGCAGGAGGAACTGATATTAGTATACACATCAGTATCACCTGAAGTGAGGTTGCTATCACTTACATTCCGTGTCTCCGGACAAGCACCGCGTATGTGTCCGGGTACTTGTTCATGGCTGCCTCCAAACCACTGGTGAGGTCCTCTTCGAAGGCGGTGTTTTCAATAATGGGAATCTTCAAAGTATCGAAGAACCCGAGCATGCCCTTTCCTTTACCGCGGGGAATGCCCTTGATCTGCTCAATGTTGCTGATCTCGAAGCAAGCATCAGGGCCCTTCTCCCGCTCCACCAACAGGGTGATTAGAACCGCCCATTGTGAGTGAGTGTGGATGCAGCAGCCAGCACCATGCTCAAAGGCAGTCAGGAATAGTGGGGTACAGGCGGAGGGGTTGAGCTTGAGGGGCTTGCGGATGTAGTTGCGGTCCGAGGCAGGGTATTTGGGGGTGGGCCATTGGAGCACGAAGATGTTGTGAGGCTGGATCAATTCCTTCTGGACTCCAGACGGGGCGATAAAGATGTGTTCGCCTTGGCGGATCGAGGTCTAATTTTCCATCAGCGGGGCACCGTTGCAATTTTTTTCCCTTGCAAGTATAAGCTTACACCACCTCCGGTGCCAGTAACCCATCCCCAGTTGTAGAATTTGCGACAGAGCTCGGGGATAAGGTTGGCGGGGTGTTCGGGGTCCTCGGACTGGACCAAGTGGTCATTGTTCGTTGCGACGGTTTGGTCTGCGGGGCACATGATGGGCTGCGACAGATTAGTACGGATTAGCGTAGGTTAAGGTAGATAATTCCAAATTTGGGGAGAGGACCTAAGCTTGCAACCAATTTTGTTATTGTCCAGGTGAGATATGAGGGTTTGCACCGGAAGTGCCGAGTAACCAATGGACGTTTGAGCGGGGGGAAAAGAGTAATTGGGGAGATCTGCACGGGACAATTTATATTCAGCACGCCATTTATTATACCTCAACTATACGATACAATAAATTAATAATCTCTAATTGCTAATTGCTAATTGAAATAGCTCTTATATTTAATTAAATAATAACAAAAATAAAACACTTGAGAGATTTAAAATATTTAAAAGTACTACATACAAGAGTAGTCGGCCGCGTATGCGGCACCTGTTAGTATATACATATAACCTTTATGTAGTGTCATTTAAATTATTATTCTTCTTCTATATTAGATATCGAGAATTAAAACCACCATTAAATCAATTAAGCTAGACTTATACTATATATTCGTACCCTTTCTATTAATTTAGCTAGTTTGGGGGTTGAGGAATTTTATGATGGTGCCTGCGAGGTGCCTAAGTACCCTCCATATGGGCAAGTCATATAAAAGGTACCTAATTTCTAGATCTGGCGTTTGGTGATGAGCTTACGTTTGGTGGGGCGCACCTCCAGGACTACACCAGGTATGGTGTTAAGCGCTTGACACGGTTAACTAGGGATTTACAGGATGGATCGAAATCAGTTTCACCATTTCCTCACAGAGATTCTTTCTCAAACCCTCTTTCGAAACACGCTATACATATTACGGTTAATCGGCCCCTGAAACCCTTTCTTGGCAGTATTCCAGTATAGTAGTAAATAACAGCTTAAAATAGCTTCTATATTTGACTCGTAAGGTCTCTGGGGTTTCTAGAACGTTTGATCTAGCAAACAAGCCAAATAAGTGAATGCCTGCTCGTTGGAGACGTGGCAGGAATCCGAATCCCCGTCCTACTAACCACTTACCCTCTAGAGTGACCACTACGAACGAGCGAGTTATATAGCGATAGTACTAGTGGGTCATGTTTCTTTACTTCTTATACTAGGCTTGGCCTTCTACCTAGGGGCCTAGCATCTGCTAAACTGACTAGTCGTGATCATGCTAACGTTAGATCTGCCAGAGCCTTGAAACGAGCACGATGACTGCTAATTCGTATCCTAATGACCGTGGATTTTAGCCGTATAACCTCGACTCTAGAAATCAAGGTTCGTAATACGCCCCCACTCTAGGATACTACGGTCTCACGCCCGCGTCAAGCTGTGGACTTAGCCCTTCCACCAACTATCACTCCGAGAACGATCTGGAAGTCCTGTCACAATAGTAACCGCAAACTCCAATACTGCTGCATATATCCGAATGGCATGGCAGAATTTCAAGTAACGAGCTTCCGGCAAGCTGCATCCAGTATACAATAGAATAGAAAGACACGGTGAATAAGAAAGTCCTTTCATGTGACACAGAAGAGGACGTAGCCTTGACTCCTAGTGCTTACTGCCCGACGACCCTGAAGGGTAAGTAAGAGAAGTTGATAGAAGGAAAGACCCCCGGTAAAGGAAGGGTAAAGTCGGACGACACCTCGATCATGGTGTCAGTATCACTTCCACAGCAGAGTAACTAAAACCCTCAAGATTGACGGGGCCGAGGGTTCCTCGGGCCAATCTTCAAGGCCCATAAGACGCGATACAGCCGCAGCTGCCACGTGCACACCGTAGCTTGTGTCCACACAAGTCCGCCATGGAGTCTCGACAAAAGGCCCAACTAGGCCGAGATTGGCGACTGATTCTGGGGTACTGCAAGGGCGATCTTTGAAAGATCTAGCCAATAATGCCGAGCTCATCCTCGGCATCACGCGTGGTATGGTAATAGAATGCTGAAGGGCTTCCGTGGCCACCTCGCCAGGGGGATTCAGATAATACAGGATCTCGGACATGATTTCGGCACCGGAACAAACAAGCATGTTCCTTTTGACATGCTCACCTTCCTTTTCGGGAAAGAGCGCAAAGCCCCAGAGGACATAGACGTCATGCGACTGGTGAGCAAACACAGGTTGGACAGGGAGACAAAGCCTCAAGCCCCAGTTACTATCCATCATAAGAATGATTGCACCAGCCTGAGATGTGCATTGCGATAAAGACTTAACATATTCAACAAATCCAATGTCCTCGGTTGTAATAGTGAAGGATTCTAACATGGATTCAGATTTGCGTGTGCAGAAAGTATAAGGGTTGCCAAGATCGGCGTATTTGTTCCCAGCTTCTAGCCATAGTGCCCAGTTTGCGTCGAGGTGGTCTCCTGCTTCAATTGAATGGCAAGCTGGCGGGAGATCATTTGTTCCAACTTTAGATCCCGACACAGTCGAGCCCGGTGTACAAATGACGATGTCGCTAGGTCCTATAGCCTTTTTGAAATCAAGTCCGTTCTGAGTAACGGCGAGCCGACTGATTGTACGACGATTTTGGTTGACCGTGCTTTCGATATTCCGTATTTTGGTATCGAACTGAAAATCCACGCCCTGACTCCGGAGAAAGAAATATATAGGAAGATTTATCGACTCGAATTGATAATAGCCTGTGAGATCCAAGCAGCTCAAAATATTTAATCTGTGGAAGCCGGATAAATATTGCCTAACAGCACGCCTGAATTCTGCGGCGCTGTGCCAGGGCTGAAAACCGAATCTGTAAGATTCGCATACCAGTAGTTAAATCGGGAAATCAATGCGTTGGGTCGTGCAATTACTCACTGTGTCGACCATATCGTCCAAAATGTACTCCGAAAGAAGCTTTCTCGGAAAAAAATACGTATCTCCTTTTTTTGCAGGCTTTTCTCCCTTTTCATAAGAAGACGCATTAAATGTATTCTGTGGTTCCACCCAATATTCAGCGACTTCGTGGGCAGGTGTTTGAAACCTCCTTTATTTTGAGCGATAAAACAGGTGGCCCCTGTTCTGTTCATGAGATTTTGTTCCTCCTCTGCTCGGAGGTCATGGAGATAAGAGCGGCCTTCTGTCACTGCGGATGGAATCATATCGAGAAGCTCTGTCAACGCCGATCCAACAGGAGCAGGGAGACACCCTGCAAACTGATCGTATCCTGCATGCGTACTACCTTGATCATGCAATGTTTGCTGCAAGGATAAGTGTTCATCGAGAATGTGCACAGCAGAAGGACGTAAATGAGCCTTCTTTATCAGGTAGACTGCTGATGCTAGAGATGCAGTTCCACTTCCAAGGATCCAGGCCTCAGTTGTTTCTGGTGAACGTCGGTTGTATTGTGCTGAGCTATCCATGGAGAGTGTCTTATGGGCGAGGCAGATTCGATTGTGATGGAAGACTGGTGCGATGTACACATGTTGAACATCAAAAAGCATGAACATCGCGCATACGTCCGCCCAATTATATCAATCAAATTACAAGATGGTGGCGATACGTGACATCCCCGTCAGTCAGCCTTACAGGTCTAAAGACCGTCTCTTCCAGCCACTGTAGCCAACGGTCGGCTTGGGGTAAGACCATGGCTCGCTTCTATTTGCAAGTGTCGTCATCTAGGATAAAAAGAATCAGAAAAGAGCGGACAAGCGACAAATGCAAAAGGTCGAATGTGTTACTCCATGTTGAGTTACTTCATGTTAAGTAGACTAACATGTCTCGATTGATACCAAGATCTCTGAAATAGCCATCTATGTTGTAGGTAGGTGGTCGGAGTCGATGACGTATTCTGTCGGAGTATTACAACATTGAAGTACTTTATGCAACTTTCTCTCACGTGAGACTGACTTTCAAATACGATTCAATATTTAAAACCAAGCTAAGCCTGAGCTGGATTAGCGTGTTTCGGAATATGGTTGGAGAAAGATTCTATGAGAGCAAAGTGGTGAAACTGATTTTGATCCATCCTGTATAGGACATTAAGATGATCGCTCTTTATTGGTGCTCAGTACCTAAGTTATTTACACTATGGCCGACCTCCGCACGCTACTGCCCGAAACATGTAGGCAGCCAATGGGATTTAGACACATGGCCCGAAAGTGAAATAGATTAAGAGACGCTCTTCCCTATCTTAGCGCAGTGAAGTAAAATATTGGTATAAGAGTAGGCTGATGCCTTGTTTGGATGTCCCCGAAATCTTTGAATCGGTTCAGTGTATTGAGGCTATTCGACAACTACCTCTTCATATCAATCCTGACTATTGGATAAATGGCATCAAAGTGAGTACTATTGTTTGAAGGGCCAATCCACCGAAGAAGAGGTAGACGAGGAGGGGACAATATCAACAACCAAGAACAAATGTGGAAGCCCATTCACCGGTATTTACTAAAAATCTCGAAAGTACTATTCATAATGGATTTCACGACATTGCTATCGTGCGGGGAACAGTTGACGACGTTCCGGCAGTCCTCCATCTCCTAGATACCGCAGTCAAATGGCTGGTATCTCGTGACAGAACTGGGCAGTGGGGAACAGGACCATTTTCAGAGTATCCACGACGCATTGAACAACTCAAGGAATTTGCAACAACCGGCCTTGGCCTCTGGCTCGCTATCAAGCTTGCTGACGGCACGCCAATGGACCAAAACCAACCTTCCAATATACTCACCAAAATTGTGAACGGAGAAGCTTCAGGGTCCATCATAGGAGCACTTGCTGTTGGAGAGAGGATGCCTTATGTGACACCTGTCTCTGAACCTGAGCTTTACGTGCGATTATTGGTCACGGATCGACAATGGGCTGGTAACGAGATTGGCAAACACCTTTTGGAACATGCACGTGGTCTCGCCAACGGGGCTGGAGTCTCATTACTACGGGTGGATTGCTATGCAGGTGGTGACGGCAGATTGGTCCAATACTATGAGTCTCAAGGATTTAAGCGATTCGAAAGGTTGAATCTCGAAGGAGGCTGGCCTTGTCAAGTACTTGCTCAGCATTTACATGAGGTGAAGGAAGAATAGAGATATTGATTCTTTTCTTTCCAGCCTGTTTAGTAGGTCCAAAATGGACTGCGACATAAATTAGAAAAAAGAGGTTTGGGGAGGAATATAGCTGTTGTGTAGTTTGGTTCGCTCTGAGTGTTTTAATCCTTGGCATATTGTTATGCTACCCCTCCCAGGCACGATAGAGGCCCCGACAGCAGATTTGGGGGCTATGCTGGTGTCTACAGAAGCATTTAGCGGGTTTCGATGTCCCAGGCAACATTGCAAGTTCATCATAGAAAGCTCCCATGTTTGGAAACCGTCATCGGTCGACATGTCGACAAACAGGCCCTTTCTACTAATAGCTGTATTGGTCAAAATACAACACTGTGCAGAAAGCAGCAACTTAGAGAAGAGGGGAAATAAGATCATGAGTCATCTCACCGTTTTTAGTTTTCTTTTTGCTTGACTTTATGTATGCAGCGCAAATATTTTCCTACAATTCACAACGCGCTCTACTTCTTCACACATCAAGGTTCTCGGCTTTGATCATCCAATACCTCTATATTCAAGCCTATATGACGAAAATGGCCTTTAGCACTCTCTTCTTTTACACCGACCACGTTAATACACCTTTCGAGGAAGACATCAAAGCCTTGGTCGGTCTCCCTTTCGTAATAGCCCCAGTGACGTTTAATAAAAGTAGTTGCTTCCTCCCGCTACGGCTTGTATCTAGAGTCGATTATGGCTATCGTTGGTATTGACCATTCATTTTAAAGAAGCCACGCCTCTCAGAACACTCATATCTCCCAGGAACGAAAAGTGTAATCGTGGAGATGCGGCATGTGGACCTGGAACTACTGTAACCGTGGCTGGGATCTTGTGGTTTAGCTCAAACGCTCACAACATCTTGCAATTAAGGTTGCTCCCAAGGAGCTTATTAATGAGGCTGAACTAACTAGTTAACTTAGCTATCGTGCTTTTGATACGAATACAATGCCCATACCAGTACTCCGTAGCAATTTGTAACTCCCGCCAGAAAGTGGCTACCGCTCATATCATATGTTCATTGGTCAAATACCAAGTCAGTTATCTCAGATCGAAAGTTCAGGATCCAATCGTCCCCTTGTGACTGGGCCTGCACACAGCCCATGCGCTAAAACTGACCTCGGGATGTACATTTAAAGAGGGGAACCCTGTCAGTTGAACCAATGATGAGACGACAACATGATATAACCACATATTCGAGCTAATAAGAGCTACAGATAACTGGGCAAGATCATACGGTAACTTCCCTCAACTCAACAGTATTCTCTACCACATGCCTCTGACTGCTAAGTCCTCGACAGGTTATTTAAGAGAAACAACTTACGCAGAAACGCACACAGACATATGAAGCAGAATACATAGTCAACCTGTGCCTATACTTCAATGCTCTTTCTAGTATTGATCACTATGCTTCTGAATCCGTTCCGACCATGCGAGGGCTCGCCAACCTTCCAAGAGGAATATCGGGGCAGCTACGTACCAAAGGTTATCGAAATAGAACTTGGCCTCCAGGTTGTGGCGCCGGATACTCTATACGTGGCAGCGGCCGGCCGAAACCAGTTATACTTCAACACCCAGCTCGATACTGAGACTGCAAAGCATGTGAAGGAACAAATCGAGAAAGCATCTGTGCCGAAACCGGACGAGTATATCGCTATAGACGAGGTTTTTGCTACGGCAGAAATAAAAAACCATGTGACCGGCGAAACGACATTCGTGTTTGACCCCGCCTATGCTAGGGTGCTGTTTGCAAAGGGAATGAATAGGCACAACCCAGAGCTCAAACTGCCTGAGCCTGAGCCCGCCGGCGATTGGTTGGTGACCTACGACCTGGACAATATACTTATGAAGCGGGCTGATTCCCGCGACGATCTTGGCTGTTACTCCAACTAGGACTGTATACGGCAGTTGGCAACTGTCGGATCTGCGACCACTATAGGGGTAACAACGAGTCCACCGTCCACTATGACCAACCGCCAACTAATGCTATCGGTATATGTCACCCTAAACTTTGCTCGAAGGCTGTCGACACATTAAAGGAAGATGGGGAGACGGAAGCCAGCTACTATGAACGGATGGACAAGTTGCACTGGACGTAAAAGTGCTGTGGCAGGTGCGGAATTGTACACCAATTCCAAGACTGGCAAGATTTGTTAGGGTGCTCTAGGTATTTGGGGTAAGATATTGCAGACGGATGCGCCGACAAGGAATGAGTGCATGAGTGCCTTGATCTGCAGGAATTAGTGCTTCCATCCAAAATGTTGATGGAAAACTGATCGACGTTCTATCTGTCCGCGGCAACGCCTGCTCAACTTCCAAAAAAAAAAAAAAAAAAAAGAATGACATGGCAAACGGAGATCCTAGCCTGGGCTACGGGAGGTAGCATCGGAGCGTCTTGGAAACACAAGGGAAGAAGGAGTATAGCGGTGTGTTCTTCTTTGCTCTTTTTCTGTATGGCAGCCAGACCTCGAGGGTCTTGGGTATATAACCAGAGGTTTCCCCCGAGTTCCCAGGGGAGACAGTCGTGGAGATTTGTTATCACAATTCTACTTCTCCCGAAGGCTCAATCCCGCTCGACTATCATGGTGTTCCATTGATTATTTGATCCTTTCATCAACAGTAGATAGGTTTAGAGTGAATAGTAGGAGTCTATGGTATAAATGTAGGTTACTCTGTATTGGAGACTAATCACAGAAATTCTATTCCTCGGATCTTCTCTCTTTATAGGGCTTTTCTACTATAGCTCATCCCATCAACAGCTAACTGGCTTACAGGATTTTATTGTACTTTAAGATGACTCATTCAGTAGAGAAATGCCCTGAAACGAACGTAGTGAGAGAAAGGGGCTATAGTAAACACGGCCGCGGGTGCGTCCGCAAAAAAATGTTGCTTTTTCTATATACGGTGGTGCTTTTTGCCACGCCCTTTTCTCATTGGTCGTGTACTAACTGCCTCTATTATGGCGTGTTTGACATATTGTGTCGGTAGCTTCTTCTACATCGTATTTATGAAAATGTCTGTTTTCATTGGGCTCTTCCCGCCCCTACATCCTCTCTTATTCCAACGTCCTGCTCTAATTTGCCGTTTACCTGCTAATTCCTCCTGTCCTGTTCGCACTTGGATGTAGCCCTTTGAAACGTCCCGTGATTGGCCTTGATATGTTTTACTTCTATATAACCTGTAATTGTCCTTCTATATCGTTGCGCTTTACGTTACCACATGGTATCTTTAAAGCTGTTTCTTTTTATTTTCTTGCTTCTACAGCTTCGCCCGCGCTTGATACTAAAATGTGCTGCGACCTAGGACTTATCGAAATTGCAACTGTCCGATAGGTATGTCTACAAATCTTCGACCCGCTTGCTGCTCTGGCTGTCGCTTGGCGTGCTCCTCTACGACTGTGGAAACTCGCGTGCGGATAGTGCTTAGGCTCTGCCGCTTTTTGCTCACTAAAGTAGAGCTGAGAATGCGCTTAAGCGCCTTTATCCGCTCATTGGACATTATATAAACACACTGACTTGCTCAATAAGCATTAACATACATTAATAAAATGCAACACGGTAGTCCTCCCACGTGTAACACTCCTCTTGTATATAGCCCTCATCGTCATAACATAAAATGCCTGGCATCATCAATATGATTGATCATTTATCTTGGTAAACTGGCGTAATCAATTATGCCACCATGAAAAGCGGGTGCTTAGTGTTGGGATATGGGGCTGTTACAGATCAGCAACAAAGCTAAGCTTCCCCAATCCTAAACACCAGTTCACTTAAGTCATGCACGGTAAACCCCAGAAATTACAGCTCCAGCAAGAGCAACTCCAGAAGCCAACCCAAACCAGAATCGATACCCTGATAACCACATAGATACAAGACGATTTGTGGACAGGGCGCCAACCTGCCTCAATAAAGTCATGGTGTCGGAACAAATCCACTCTTCAGCCAGTTCGCCGTTTTCAAACCGATAGATTTCATGACTGATGTATTCTATTGTCTTGCCTGTGGGAGGGTTTCCGAGAAATTCGCCTTGATGCGTGCCTTTGATTCGCACCCGCACCGCAACTTTGTCTTCTGCAGCGATGATGTCCTCGACGTGGACTTTGACGTCGGGAATGGCGGCGAAGAGTATCTGAGCATGATTTCTCCAGGCTTTATGCCCACGCTTTTGGTAAGGCATATCGGCGATATTGATAATGAAATCCGGCCTCATTAGGCTGAGGCATCCGTTGATGTTTCGTGCATTCAAGTGGTTGAACGCTTGCTTCAACACATTAATGTTGACGGAGGGGGTTGAGGGTGGCATTATGGGTGGCTCCAGTATCCAGTATTGAACAAGAGCATGGATAACAATATAACATGAGGCTTACATTGGACTTTTATATCTATATAATGGTACGTCGGTGAGAACTTGCTGACAAGGACAGGTACCAGCGCCAAGTGACGTTAACAAGTTGCACCCGATTTCCTCCGAAGGACTGGATTTCTTTGAGTCATACTGGGGCCATGGGACCTGATCTTGTACGATTTTGGAAAGAAAACTTATTGGCATACTTAAGGTGACCAGCTCACCTAAAGTCCTCTGTACGTTAACCTTTTCGATCTTGGATGCTGCTGTCATTGGTAGGGTGAACTAGGATGAAAACAAAGAATCGACAGAAACTAATATCTGTGGAAACCAGAATTGTAGGGGAAACCCAGAACGGAGTAGGTTAGATCTACTATGGAACGTCTCATATATCAGCCCCTGCCTGAATGAACGGGAGCGCCCCCTTGTCATTTGACTCGGAGTTTAACCTTCAAGGTTAGATGGTTCCACTCTAACTAATCTTGTCTAGTGCCTGGATATAAGGAAGGTCTAACCTTTAAGAAAGTTTTACCATACGTATAATCTTGTCAATTAAGTTTTTGTGTTCTTTGAAGCCCACAGAAAATGTCTCAGATTCGAATCTTGTTGAACGGACCAACCACGTATTCTAAGTTCTGTTCACTGCATTCTACTGCGCCACCCATTTGACTCTTTCCTTGCCTTCTCCTTCCTGTCATTTTATTTCTTCGATCTAAGGCTGATACGCGTTTTCTAGTACGATACAACTAAGTAGCACTTGTTTTCAGAGCGACCAAATATGAACCAGCGCGGACTTCAGACCGCCTATACTTAGTAATTTTTTCTACAGTGCTTTATACCCTTCTAGTTTAATACGTTCCCGATATATTTCTACTAGAGTTATATTTCCTTACAGCAGGCCATATCCCACTTACGGACAGCCCTAGAGGGTTGTGGGGCGGATATTCCACTTAACAGCGGTAGTATTATTCATATATCAAGTTATATAATTATTCCTATCCCGCGTATTTACCTTATTAGTACTTTTATTTTATATACCTTTCTACTACAAAGAACTCTATCAAAATTAGTATATTCTGACACAATATAATTATAATAATATAAAAATCTAATAGAAATAACTAGGTAGGCGAAATAATACAACATTATCTTTCCTATTCATCTCGGATGTTTTTATAGATGATCTCGGCGTCATAGTAGTAAACAGCGGATTTTCTAGTAGTATGTGTTGTCCTATAATCCGCCACTCTAACACTTTATAATCTTTCCTTAAAAGTAGCTATCAAATAAGCAATCGAATAGTTATTATTTCTACTACTCTTAGGCAATATTCAATATATGGATTAGGTGTGACGGTGTTCGAATGTGCAGGTACCTGGTGAGCGTTTCATCACACAGGGCATTTCATATCACCGCGATTGGGGTTACTATATAACTATTGCGCTATAGGGATATATCAATTATTAGACCTCGGATTAGTGCTCGCTAGCTAAGGGAAATACAAAGAGGTGGAAGCGATATATCAACGGGCACTAGAAAGATATATTAGGGCATTTGAACACGAATATCCCTAAACAGTGACTAGTCTCTATATTCTTTAGACCTCCTATATCAACACGGGAAGCGTAAAGAGGCTTTATAATCCCAGACCTCTATCTATAGCATTTAGTGTAAACACAGCAGACATAGAGATATAATATCTATCCTTGATCATTTTTCCCACAGCACTATATAACCTCGTGGTGTGGTACGGTCTCGAAGTACCTACCTCTACCAGAGTTTTCATACATCAAGTTATATAAGTATTCCTATCCCGTGTATTCGCTTTTTTAATATTTTTGTTTTTTATACATTTCTACTACCAAGAGTTCCACTAAAATTGGTATATTCTTAAGTAACATAATTTTAATAATATAAAATATTAATATAGATAACCAGGTAGGCTAAATAACACAGTCTTGTCTTTTCTATCCACCTCAGACGTTTTTGTAGATAATCTTAGCGTCATAGTAGTAAACAGTGGATTTTCTAGGAGTGCGTGTCGTCCTATAATCCGCCCCTCTTAACACTTTATAATCTTGGTTTGAAATAAGCCATCGAATAAGAAATCAAACAATCATTGTTATTGCTGCTTTCAGGCAATATTCAATAGGTGGGTTGGGAGTGACAGGGCGGCTCGAATGTGCAGGTACCTGGTGGGCGTTTCATCACATAGGGCATTTCATGTCACCGGGATGGGGGTTATGTATCAAAGGTTATATTGACCTCGGGTTCCGCCAGCTTATGCTCCTGGTTCAAGCGAACATGAACACCGGGGTGCAATTAAAAGGGAAATCATCCACTGCCCACTGTCTATGTATGTATGCTTAGTCTTCTCTTCAAGGTACTCTTTATTTCCCTACCTTGACTGTAAAATAAGCATCCTGAAATACTGAGCAACATTGGGAATATACATGTGATTATTCAGGCACTACGGAGGCAAGAAAGATAAGTACTATATACAGGCTACTCGTTTAGCCTAGCGGAATATGACATATATAGTGGCTTTATATCTTCAACAAAAACATGTAAGACTAATAGAAATCTCACCAGCTTGGTGCGATCAAATATTCATTCCAGGCGCCCCTATCCGCATCTCCGAATTTATCGATCCCTCCCTCCACGCCATCTTCACCCACTGTCCATAAATCACTTTCAACCAGCACTATCCACCGTTCAAACAATCTCTCTAATCTCTGCGATCGCCGTTCACCCCCAAACGGATGGAAGTAACCATGTTGAAAGAGTTCCGTGAATGAGCCCGAGGGAACTGGTCTCCCATCACTCATCCTAGCCCCGTCCTCATCTTGGAAGAAACCAGGCCGTAGTGCAAATGGAAGCACGAGACGGAAACCCGCCTCCTCCATATCATAATCTTTTCGACGCACAGGTTCACTGTAGAGTCCAGTGGGAACAGGATCGTTGTCGTTCATGCTCACGTTGTCATGTGCGGTGGAGAACAAGCGACGAATCTCCAGGTTGAGATCCACCAACCGGTCTGGAGCTGCAAATAGTAGGACCCCTGGGATGCTATCCTCTTCATGAGGTATGTAAGTAAACCTCTGGCGCCTCGCAAACGCCTCCTTATCATGCGGGACCTCTAGCCCAGGTGCAACGAATTTGAAACGCGGAGTCTTAACTCGTGTTAAGAGCGAGCGAATGAAACAGTCCTGTGGCACGGCCGCTGCGTCCAGTTCTGCACTAGTAAAGAGCGGTGCAGAGATAGGCAGAAGTGAGTCAGGAGGCATTCGAGATTCGACCGCAGCTGAGTAGCGCTCTATCGCAGCTATAGTGCTATCAATCTGGGCATCGCAGTAAGGGAGCCACGACCACAAATAAAATTGCGATCTATTCGTCGGGGGATCACCAGAAGGGAGTTCTTCAGGAAGCCCAGGAACGGAAACCAATCCGAGTCATATAGATCCATTGGGTGAGAATAGTCTCCAGCGGGAACCACATTTCCTCGTGCTCGTCAATAGGCTCCACACTTTCCATATTGTCTGTAGTCATTGGGAATGAGGCCCGATTGAGCTGCTGGTCATAGATAACGCCGAGGTTATGCCCGCCCAGATCCGCAATAGTGCGATAAATTAAAACAAATCGCTCCTTGTCCTCCTCCATCTCGTTATCATCAATAAAATACTCGTCGCTGAGCTCCATCACAAGACCGTCAACCCAGTAGAAGAAGGGCGGCCTAGGATCATAGATTAAATCAAGAAACTTGTTAAGCGGCGCAACAAGGCGCTCCCGAGTAGCTTCGACCTCCTCGTTTGCTTCATGGAAAAACCACTTTTCACTGGCTAGCGCATCAAGGTCGGGCGTATCTCTTCCGTTGCGGGCCATCCAGCCATATGCGACCAGGTAATTGTGTAGTCTGGCGCAGCGCTCATAGTCGAGAGTGCCGTCATCACGGGCCGGGTTGTCATCTGACACTAGAGCGTCTTCAATATCAAGGATCTGTTGTGGAGTGGTGTTCATGTCACGGTGATGTCGAAGGGCAGGTTTATCAGCTGAAGAAAGTATGGAACATTGGAAGTCGCTTGGACGACAAAAGGTTGCCACAGCACTAGAGCAGCTAGAAGCAGCTACAACATTGGTATCGTAAAGGCATAATTCAAAAAATCTATAAATACCTATAGTTGTTATTAAGGGTAGATGAACAGTAAATAAAAACAATAATATCACATAAACTGCCAGCTAAGAGTACTAATTATTTGTATTGTTGTCCTGTAGAACAAGATCGAAACCCTTGTGTACACGCCCTAGTCCCGATTGGGGAGCTTAGTGAAGAGGCCACCTGGACCTTCCCCCCATGTTGTCCTTTCTATAAAACCATCTCCTCTTTTCTTCACTTTGGTGCTGTGCGCTCCACTTTCATTCCTTCTAATTGTTGTTTACAATATGCGCTTTAACACTGCGTTGACATCGGCTCTGGTCTCCTCCGCCAGCCTCATGGGCTACGCCCATGCGGAGGAGGAGGCTGCGGATACCACTGTCATTGACAGGCCTGCCTTCACTGTATGCATCTAAAAACACACCCTCTCCACTATCTCCTGTTAACTTCTGCTAACTCCTGAAAGCCCACTAGCCTCAAAGCTCCTTTCCTGGAGCAATTCACAGACGATTGGGAGTCTCGGTGGAAACCTTCCCACGCGAAGAAGGATGACAAGTCCGACGATGAGTGGGCTTACGTCGGTGAATGGGCAGTCGAGGAGCCCTCCATCTTCAAGGGTATCGACGGTGACAAGGGTCTGGTCGTAAAGAACGCTGCTGCCCACCACGCCATCTCCGCCAAGTTCCCCAAGAAGATTGACAACAAGGGCAAGACCTTGGTGGTTCAGTACGAGGTCAAGCCGCAGAGTGAGTCGTGACTTTCTACATTTGTTCGCGTTCTTATGTGCTGACTGGAATTGTCCTGTGTTAGACTCCCTGGTTTGCGGCGGTGCCTACCTTAAGCTTCTCCAGGAGAACAAGAAACTCCACCAGGAGGAGTTCTCCAACGGCACTCCCTACGTCATCATGTTCGGCCCTGACAAGTGCGGTGCCACTAACAAGGTTCACTTCATCTTCCGTCACAAGAACCCTAAGACCGGCGAGTACGAGGAGAAGCACCTGAAGACCCCTCCCGTGGCCCGTACCAACAAGGTCACCTCCCTCTACACCCTGATCGTCAACCCCGATCAGACCTTTGAGATCCTGATCAACGGCGACTCTGCCAAGAAGGGCAGCCTCCTCGAGGACTTCAACCCTCCCGTCAACCCCGAGAAGGAGATTGATGACCCCAAGGACTCTAAGCCCGCCGACTGGGTCGACGAGGTTAAGATCGCCGACCCCGAAGCCACCAAGCCCGCCGACTGGAATGAAGACGCTCCCTTCGAAATTCTCGACGAGGAGGCCACCCAGCCCGCTGACTGGCTGGAGGATGAGGCCGACAGCATTCCCGATCCCGAGGCCGAGAAGCCCGAGGATTGGGATGACGAGGAGGATGGAGACTGGCTCGCTCCCACTGTCCCCAACCCCAAGTGTGCCGATGTCTCTGGCTGTGGCACTTGGACCCGCCCTATGATCAAGAACCCCGAGTACAAGGGCAAGTGGGAAGCCCCTCTCATCGATAACCCTGCCTACAAGGGTGTCTGGGCCCCCCGTAAGATCAAGAACCCCGCCTTCTTTGAGGACAAGACTCCTTCCAACCTTGAGCCCATGGGCGCTATTGGCTTTGAGATCTGGACCATGCAGAATGACATTCTGTTTGACAACATCTACATTGGTCACTCCGTTGAGGATGCTGAGAAGCTCCGCCAGGAGACCTTCGATGTCAAGTTCCCCATCGAGGAGGCCGAGGAGGAGGCTACCAAGCCTAAGCCCGAGGTCAACGAGGAGGGTACTACCGTCACCTTCCAGGAGGATCCTGTCACCTTCGTCCGTCAGAAGGTCAACCACTTCGTTGAGCTGGCCAAGGAGGACCCCATCAACGCTGCCAAGACCCTCCCTGAGGTGGCCGGTGGCCTGGGTGCGCTTCTCTTGACCATGATCCTCATCGTTGTGGGTGCCATTGGCGCCAGCAGCCCTGCCGCCCCGACCGAGAAGAAGGGCAAGCAGCCTGCCGGTGCTCCCAAGGAGAAGAAGGAAGAGGCTGTCACCTCCTCTGCTGAGACCAGCAAGGGCGGTGCCACCAAGCGCACCACTCGATCCTCCGCCGAGTAAATGCGATAATTGAAAACCAATTATACGCAGAAAAGAATTTTACCCATAAACCCAATCAGCGCAGAGATTTGAATTTAGTTACCGCAGTGATCCCCTTCTTGGTGTGTCTTGGCCGATGTAGTAGTCAGAAGGTTCATCAAGAATATTGAATGGAGGCCCGATTTGTATACTCCTGTTTATCTCTATTATTTCTACTCGGTTTTCACTTTATTTCTTCCTCGGAGACAATTGTCTTTGTGCCTTTTACTAGTGTCATAACTATGACTTTTTAGCCCCGAATGGTGTAATGAAAATATAAAGTACAGGTCAAAAAGGGAAATACCTTCCTAATTGACTTGATCCCTTGCCTACAATGTCTAGTACACGACCCGAAAAACAATTATCAGCGATTAAACACCAGTTAGTGTCGGCGATTCGAGAATCGATTTCCACCTTGTGATTGGCTGAAAATGCCGAGGAGTTACCTTATCTGGGGGTTCATTTGTACAACGTGGGGAATGCTGCTCTCTGACTAAGGCGGTTTCCCTCGGGCCTGGGGTAACCATAGGTATATCCCATGGATGATTCCCGAGGTCCTTTCACCCATCATCTTTACATTTGTCTCTCTACTTAGTCCGTGACTTGCCCTGTCTCTGAATTCCATCTGTCTTTCCCCATCTCCAATTCATCATGGCTGCTTGTCGGTCGATTTCCCGTTCTATCCCCGCTCTCCGCGCAGTTCCCCGCACGGTGTCGGTAACTGCCAGAGCTGCCTCTTCCACCAGATCTCTCACCACCACATCCCTCGCCAGTTTGGTCTCCCGCAGAGCATATGTGCCATCTTCATCACTCTCTGCCACTCGCCGCTTGCACGCAACAGCCCAGCGGCTCGTCCCCGCAACAACCTCAGCCGTCTCCACCGCTACTGAATACCCAACAAGCCACCAAAAGATTGCCAACCCAGTTGACACTGCTAACTTCATTGACAATGAGTTTGTGTCATCTAAGGCATCCAAGTGGATTGACCTCCATGATCCTGCCACCAACAACCTGGTCACCCGTGTGCCCCAGAGCACAGATGCGGAGCTAAAGGCCGCTGTGGAGTCGGCCGAGAGGGCCTTCCCCGCTTGGAGAGCTACCAGCATCATGGCCAGGCAGCAGATTATCTTCAAGTTTACTAGCCTCATCCGTACCCACTGGGACCGATTGGCCGCGTCCATTACCCTTGAGCAGGGTAAGACTTTCGCCGATGCCAAGGGTGATGTTCTCCGTGGCCTTCAGGTTGCCGAGACCGCCTGTGGTATCACCACCCAAATGACTGGCGAGGTCTTGGAGGTGGCCAAGGATATGGAGACAAGAAGCTACCGCGAGCCGCTCGGTGTCGTGGCCGCTATCTGCCCCTTCAGTAAGTTGCTTATGTCAATATTTTCAATCCCTCCACATAGATGCTAATTGTCAACAAGACTTCCCTGCCATGATTCCCCTTTGGTCTATCCCTGTCGCTACCATGACCGGTAACTGCTTGGTCATGAAGCCATCCGAGCGGGACCCCGGTGCTGCGATGATCCTGGCGGAGCTTGCCAAGGAGGCCGGTTTCCCACCGGGTGTCATTAACATCATCCACGGCGCCGCCCCTACTGTGGACTTCATTCTTGATGCGCCTGCTATCAAGGCTATCAGCTTTGTTGGAAGCAACCGTGCTGGCGAATATATCTACACCCGTGGCTCTGCCAACGGCAAGCGCGTGCAAGCCAACCTGGGTGCTAAGAACCATGCCGCCGTGCTGCCTGACGCCAACAAGAACCAGTCTCTTAACGCCATTGTCGGTGCTGCCTTTGGTGCTGCTGGCCAGCGCTGTATGGCATTGAGCACCTGCGTTATGGTTGGCGAGACTAAGGAGTGGCTGCCTGAGATCGCCGAGCGGGCCAAGGCCCTGATCGTGAATGGTGGCTTTGAGGAGGGTGCTGACCTGGGCCCTGTGATCAGCCCCCAGAGCAAGAAGCGTATTGAGGATTTGATTACTAGCGCCGAGGAAGAGGGTGCGACTATTCTTCTGGATGGCCGTGGCTTCACGCCCAAGAACTACCCCAATGGTAACTTTGTAAGTCCCACTACAGAAAATACTCTACATCTGTGTAACTCGAACTAATTATGTCTCCGCAGGTTGGCCCAACCATCATCACCAATGTCACCACCGATATGAGGTGCTACAAGGAGGAGATTTTCGGTCCCGTTCTCGTGTGCCTTAACGTCGAGACCCTTGACGACGCCATCGACGTGATTAACGCCAACGAATACGGCAACGGTGCTGCCATCTTCACCCGCTCCGGCTCGACCGCCTCTAGGTTCCAGAAGGACTGCGAGGCTGGCCAGCTCGGTATCAACGTACCCATTCCCGTCCCTCTCCCCATGTTCTCTTTCACCGGTAACAAGAAGAGTATTGCCGGTGGTGGTGCCAACACTTTCTACGGCAAGCCCGGCTTGCAATTCTATACCCAGCAGAAGACTGTGACCAGCCTTTGGAAGAGCGAGGATGCGATCAGCACCAAGGCTCACGTCGTGATGCCTAATCACTCGTAAATGCCTTGGCACCTGCCTCTCTTACTTTCTTGCTTTTCTTTTAGCCGATCATTCGCATGATAAAATTTGTCCTCCCTGTTAAACAAAACACACGCCTCATGGATTTCAATGAATGTATCTGAATCATATGCTTGCTTTATCACAGCACTCATGAACTTGGACATGGATTACCAGATTGGACAGTGTGTGTAGCATTATAATGACATTGATTCTCGGAAATGAAACAATCTCAAAACCGCTGTACTTCATCATCCCATTAGCTTGTAACATATCTATGATCAAACTGAACACTTCCCCAATACGTGCTACCATTAATCAAAGTAAACAATTGGACAGGCTGAACGCTATATTGACTTATGTTTTATAGCAAATCAATAAACCGAAAAACCCGAGAAAAAAATACAAAGTCCATACTCAACACACGAGCAAGAGCATCTTACTCCGCAACCTTGCGCTCCTTGAAAGCGTAAACAAGTCTAGCAAACGCAACCTTCCCATCCTTAACAACAACAACACGACGAGTATGACGTCTTTCACCATCAACAGTCTCAAATCCCCAAATCTGCTCAGCAGTCCATCCAGAACCTTCATTCGTCACAAAGCTCTGCAAAAACGCGCCCTCGCCCTCTTCAGCAAGGAATCCCTCACTCTTCGATCCATCAATAAGAGTTTCACCAGTCAGGAACTTCTGCACCTTAGCATCATCCTCAGGCGAGCCGACCTTAGTCTGAATCTCGACAACAGGACGCACAGCGCCGTCCTCACTCTTAGCGGCGATGAAGCGCGAGCGGCCCTTCAACGAGCCGAAGATGTGGTCGACGTGCTCGCGCTCTTCCCAGTCAAGCTTGCGCTCTTCCTTGGTGCCTTGGATACCGCCTGTGATTACTTGCTGCGCGTCGAGGTGGATGAGCGCCGCGTTCTCGCTGTCTGCGTACTGGTTGACGTAGATTGTCACTGTTGCGTATGAGAGGGTCTTGCGTACGAGCCAGCCAACTCCTTGCTGTTTGCGTTTGTTAGTGGGGTTGTTGTTGAATGGGTTTTATGTATGGTATTGTGCAGGGGATAATAACGATTGTGGATTATGAATTTGTATGATTGGAGGGGAAATTGGGACAGGGGTTGGGGGATGCTTGGCTGTTTGATATTTGGGGTAACTTGGCGGGGAGGGCCGGAGGCCCGGGGGTTAGGGCTTAGGGGTTGCATACCAGAGATAGAAGAGGGTCTGTTGGGTTAGACTTGGTTGAGTCCTGTTACACATGAGTATCTTGTTTTTTTTTGTTATTGTTGTTTTAGGGGTTTAGTTGAGCATACCATCTCCCATTTTCCACTCAGGTTCTGGATAGTAACATCGGCAGGGGCGGCCATCTTGAAGGTTGATGTGTATAGTAGCTGGTTGAATGCGGGGATGGTGGGGGGAAGTTGATGAGCAACGAAAAGGTGATTTGGTCAACTGAAGAGAGACTTAGACTTCCAGGGGTAAAAGTAAGAAAGTAGAGGAACTTCCAAGCGATACCACCTAATATATAGTTGCCTTGGTCAAACAATGGGCTTGAAGGCCAATTGCGTCAATTGCATGTGTTTGTTCTCGAATCCGAGGCTAGAGTCACCTGATCTGCTGACTGTACATGTGATTAAGGAGAGTTCGGTGTTTAGCCCCGGTGTTTACTATACTTAGAGCTACAATCCAATGTCTTTCAATAAGAAATATGCCGGTCTTCCTGATCTGGTGAGAAATACCGGATGTTGATATCCACTTTGATTTCCACTGACTGTGACCCAGGACCCATCCCCAGATATTTATGAAACCCCCGACTTGACCGACGAAGCATCCACCTTGCCCGTGAGTTCGCCAATTCCACACCAAAGAGACGTCACCGGGCCTAATCACTGATCCTGTCTAGACTGCCACTATCCGCACAGACTCCGACCATGATGACGCAGGTTCAAACTCCGACATCGACCGCGAGGGTGTCAACCCGGACCAGGCGCGTATGCACTTCATGGGCGCGGCCGTGGATGCCCGCGACGTCAATTTCTCAGATAGCATTTCAATGAAGCGGCAGGCTTACCGGAGCAAGAGCATGAGCCGCCGCCGTCGGCGGAGACCCGAGGACGGGGTAGAGGAGGTCGGTGACCTGAGTGACAGCGAAGACGAGTCGCTTGAGCGGAGGCTTGCGCGGCTACGAAGGGAGGTCGAAGATCTCAAGGTGGAAATGGCCAACAAAACCGACGGCGCAAATGCTGGAAATGGATCGTCGCAAGGTGCTGCAGCGGTTGAAAAGTCAGGAGAGAACCTAGGTGATGGCGTTGCGGAGCTGAGCCGCGCTCTGGACAATCTGCACGCCTCGAGAGGTGCGGCGAGCTCATCGCACTCGGCTGCAGCACTACTGTCCCAGAAGCTTGGATCCCAGACTAGATCTGCTACAGACGCAAAGACACAACCCTCGGCCGATGCATCAAAGGCAGTCTCCACAGTGTCAGCCCCAACTGCCTCTTCTTCGTCAGGGCTCCTCTCTCACGCGGCAGCATTCGACGGTCGCCTAACGCTTCTTGAAAGCTCCATCGGTATTTCAAGTTCATCCAACCCCTTCATCGCCGACGGCGTCAACGACTCAACGTCGCACCCAGTCCTCCCAGCTCTGGACCAGCTCACCTCCCGGCTCTCAGCACTCACCGGACTTCTCGTTGGCACGGGCCCTGCATCCGGAGCGCCAGGAGTAGCCAATGCCGCGCCAGGCATGACAACCCCACACCTGGAAGCTCTTTCCACGCGAGTGCGAAAGTTGACCACCGACGCCGAAGCGCTCACCGCAGCCCGCAGAAAAGCCTTCGAGGCCGCAAAGGCCGTCCACAATGCCCGTCTAGCAAGTTCTGACGCCGACATCGTCCCCGCACTAGAAGCATCGACCGACGACGACCACGCCGCCAAAATACAAGCTCTCTACACCACCCTCCCAACCATCCAGTCCCTGCATCCCCTGCTCCCCGGCGTTCTCGAGCGTCTGCGCTCTCTGCGCGCCTGCCACGCCGGCGCAGCCCATGCGGCGGACTCACTCAACGAGCTCGAAAAGCGCCATGCCGAGATGGCGTCGGAGATCGAGCAGTGGCGTGAAGGTCTAACGACCGTCGAAGAGAAGATGCAACAGGGTGAAGCTGCCCTCCGCTCTAACGTGGAGACTGTCGAGCCCTGGGTGCGCGACTTGGAGTCTCGTCTGGCGCGTTTGGAAGGTCCCTCGGCATTGTAATCCATTCAATCTTTCTTGTGTCTACTTTTTTTGATCTGCTCTGTCCGGGGCAGAGGTTTGATGAATAATACCCAGTTTGCATGTGCTTGTCGAATGTTGAGGGCATATTGTAGTTATCTTCAATTGTTAATATCAGTTCCATTACAGATGGCCCTGTTTTTTTTATATGAAACCCTACTACATTGTAACATAAGTGTAGACAGACTAGACAGACTAGAATCTATTTATTTTTATACTAAACATTCGATCCCTTCCTCACCCGCTTCAACACCTGAACCCTCGGTCTCATCTTAACCTCAACCCACCACCCACGCAACACAGCAATCCTCACATACTCGCGCAGACTCTCAAACAACTCAACAGCACGCACACCCGCAACAGCACCAATAAATCGCCGCTCAGTAGTTCCCGTAGCAGGAATCCCAGGTCTCAAAACCGAAATCCCCGCAAACGAATCTACCACAAGCATCCTCTCCCAGTCGGAAGAAGGGAGCGCACGCCGGAGACTTGTCTCATCAGCATCCATGAACCCGGCCTCCTCATCCGCCTCAAAAACGACATAATCGAACCGCTCCCAGAACCCACTAGTGGATTTAACGACCTTGTCTTCGGTTTTGTCATATACCCATCCCGACGAAGGGGGTTGTTGCAGGAAGCGTGTTACGCCCGTTTGGCAGGCGAGGTTACCTAGGTAGACGTTGATAGGAGAGATGCTCTTATCAGAATGCAAGTCTGTATCACGGAGGATAGAGTGTTGATAATGCATTGCATCGAGGGCCTGACCACCGGGGTAATTTGCTGCTGACGCCGGGAGGAGCACGAAATTAGACAGACAGAATACGATGAGCGTCGAGATAGCCAGGGCGCGTGTCGCCAGACGGGCGAAGAGGGAGCGCTCGCGGTGGTTCCAGAGATATGCGGCGCCAAGCGCTGCTACCGCCGTGAGGGATGAAATGATGTAGACGATGAAGCGCCATTCCTTGTGTGGTTGGAAGCTGTACAGGGCGACGAAGGAAAGCGCCGGGATTAGGAGTGCCAGTGCCGGGGATCGCGTAGCGGGTTGTCGTAGGGCGACGGGGATGGCGAGGAGGTAGGAGAGGGGATTGAAGAGGAGGCGGGGGAGGGCGTTTAAGAAATAGAAGGACCAGGGCTCTGTGCCCCATTCTGAGGATTGACCTGCTAGGACGTTGAACCGGAAGGCTTCGAACTCCGGCCAGAGGGGGAAGTGTTGCCAGAAGGTGCTGTCGAGATAGATTGTGAGGGCGAGGCCGGTTGTGAGGCCTATTAGCCCTGCGATGACGGTTTGTTGGATGTTGATTCGTCTTGTTGCTAGTAGGAAGAGAGTCTGTGTTCCGACTAGGAGGGCTAGTTCGGAGCGGAAGACTACGCCTGCGGTGGTGAGGAGGGCGAGTGCTAGGCTGCATTGCTTTTGGTCTTGGGATGTTGGATGAGGGCTCGGGAGGAGCAGACACATTGCCAGCGTTGTGATGCTGAAGGCGAACATGTTTGATAGTGGCCTTGAGGCATAGAATATCAAGTGGAACTGGCTTGCTTGGAGTAAGATATACCAGATAGCTGCTGGCTGGCCGAAGCTACGGCGCAGGCCTCTTGCATAGACTGCTAGACAGGAGGCGTTGAGTAGGCCCAGAATAGCTCGAGCTGGATGCCGGTATTAGCTTGGTTGGACGTATAGCAGTATAGATGTATACCGTACCTAATATCTGTTGGTTGATCCCCTCATTCAACCAGATCACAGGCTTCGAGAGCATAGCGAGCGCCGCAGCACCAATGGCGCTCCGGGGAACAGCCCCGGGGAAAGAGAAATGGTCATAGTCGGCGCGGTTGAGATTCAGGTCATTAAAGCCATTTGGTAGCCCGTTGGCCAAGATATCATGTACAGCCTGGACGTGGAACGACTCCTCGACTTTGGTGTACGGAGCGACGAGGAGATGAAGGATGATCAAGGCTGGGAAGAGAAGAGAGAGAATCGCATATGCTATAAAAAACAGTTAGTTTATCTGCTTGGTGTTCTTGTACAGAGCGAACGAACTATATCCCATGGTGACTGCATCCGAGAAGAGTGTTAATCCGGAGATCTGGCGCCTCCCGCACTTCACCTTTGACATCTTCCTCAACCCGCAAAGATGTTTTTCTTCGGTCTTGGGAAGCTGTTTTATGGTATGTACCTGTTATCCTCATTCTTCAGCTTATACTAATATCCTAACTCCCAGTCATCGTCCTCATCATCAATGCCATCGCCGTCCTCTCCGAGGACCGCTTCCTAGCTCGCGGTACGTCCCTCCCCAGCTACAACCCGTCCAGAAGATAAGAATCTAACGAATGTTGGAAATACACAGTCGGATGGGGTCGCACACAAGCCGAGCCGGGCTTCGGCGCGACATACGATAGCACAAGCGTGAAGGCCAAGTCCGTCAACCTGATCGCCAGTGTGCGGACCGTGATGCGGAGTACGTTCCCAACCCCCCGCAGCCCAATATAACCAGGCCAGTCTTGCATCTTGGATTTGAGCGATGGCTTTCAACCTTGAATAAGTCGCAAGCTGCTCTGCTTTGATCAACGAGGCATACCAGCCATGGCCGACGGAATAGCATAGCTAACACCTCCACAATCCAGTACCCCTTATCGTCATCAACACGGTCATCATTGTCTACGAGCTGATTCTTGGTTAAATTCGCTTCTTCGCCATTTCCCCCACGCGTCGAGCTCCCTCATGGATCCGTTGCCACCCAGCTGCATAGCTACATACCCTGCTGCCCGCCAACCTACATAGCTTTCACTACGATTTGCGCTGTGACCTCCCCTCCGACGAGCCATTCAGAATCAGACACCTCTATATCATTAATGACGCCTAAGCGAGAAACGCGGCATGATCTACACGAGCAAGGAGCATACTGGGGGCAGAGGGTAGTACTGGGTTATGTGTAAAAGAAACCGGAACACCGCTGCCGGGTGTCTACTTTATGGTGCGCTGGGTGAAGGCGTTGCTTGAGGGTGACAGGAATAGTGGTGGCGTGCAGTGAATAGCCCATCTTCCTCTCCGCGAGTTCGTTTTGATTACTTCTGGCCTGTACCTATATACCCACCAAAATGCTAGAACCGCTATGGACACATGATCGAGACGTGGTTTACGTGGATTTAAAGGGCTGACGTATGGTCTTTTGTAACTGCATAGCAAACCTGTATCTTGTATTGTTTTCTTATTCGGGTTGCCTTTAGCCATGTATAGATCGAGATGACAGCAAACAAACCGAATCACTGCATGTACGCAAAAGTTGGAGGAACGGACCGAACATGCTAAAAAAAAAGAGAAGATTCGCTCATGACTTGAAATGAGATATGTAAGAGCAGTTCAAAACGCCAAATCCGACAAAGGACCCACGCTCGCCAGCAAAAGAAAGCAACCCCAATACGCCTCTTTTCGCAAACCTGCCAGGTTTCGGTCCTGTCAGTGTAAGTATCACGCCGTTGTACATGATACAAAAAGTGGCAGTGGTGAAAAGCAATGGCAGCAAGAGAAAAAAATACAAATCAAACAGCAAGATATAGTGGGAAAAGTAGGGAGACTAAAACAGAACTGGCGGGATCTGAGATCCAATAGAGTCTAGAAAGACATGGCTGTGGAAATACCCCGGTTGGAAGCGAGGACTTCCACAGGAGAATGGGAAGATGGAGAAGCGCAGATCATAAGAACATGATAGTACATCCATTAGAGGAAGCTATGTGCAGAAGCAAAATTTGCGCTCATATGTGCAAGATGATAGGGGGTATCTCCGTGAAAGTCGGGCTTAAGATATGAGATGAAAAACGAAAGCAAGTGCTGTCTGTAAAAGAAAAAAACACCGATTGTAGTTCATGCCACTTTCTTGAAACTGAAAGATCTCCACCGAGGGGTATGGCCGGACTTCGTATGGTTGGTGTGTTGGTCTTTAGGTAAGTCTTTGGTCAAGGGCTCGGGGGTTCGGATGGGTTGCTTGGGTTGTTTAGGGTTGGAAATGGGTGGGAAACTTCTCGGAGAAACCGGCGACTCAACTGGCTGGGCCGAGTGGGTTGGCTTGATCGGCTGAGCTGGTTTGTTGACTGTCTGGGCCGGTTCTGTCTCCTTGAGTGGTGCTTCTGGCACAACTTCTGGAAGAAGCGGTGCTGTCGAGAGATCCGATGTTGAGACTCGGGGCTCTTTGTCTTTGGAGAGTCGGTGACTGAGACTGCGGCTGCCTCGTTTCAAAAAGCCGAAACTGCTCGACTTCCTTGGTGATCCATTCTCAGCAGCGAAATCCATCGTGTCGGCCCTGCTGGCCTCGATGGCTCTTTTCAACTCCTCTGCCTCTCGCCGCTGCATTTCTCGGTTGTGCAAGTCCTGCTCTTTCAGGCGATTCCTTTCATTCTTATCCTTCTCCTTCTCTATAGCCCGACGTTCCTTCCGTAATTGGTGATCGCTCTTCTTTGGGCTCAATGGGGGAGCTGGTTCGTCGGGGATCGGAGGGAGAGGCGGTTGAGCGACCCGCGGGGAAGCTGGATGGAATTCCACGGGTTCTTCTGGGTAGGTAGACAGTTGGGGTGCCGTTGGGATTCGGCTGAGAGGAATGAAGGGAGGTGTGTGATCAGAAGGCACCTGTGATGCACTTTGGGCATGAGCTAGCGGTGGTGAGAAGGGAGATCCATTAGGCTTTCCGGCCTCGCCTGTTTCGGCTGCTGCTGCCGAGGAGGCCTGGTTCTCTTGCGCCTGCTCTCGCATAACAGCCTCGAGAGTTGTCTCTTGATAGAATAGAACATAGGCACACGCCAAGCCGGGTCGATCTCCAAAGAAATTGCGCACGTAACTTTTGTCAACCGGCTCCACGAGCTCGTCGTCGAACAGCAGCCAACCACGGTCTTCGGTCTTGATAATGGCAACGTAGTGACCGTGATACGGTCCTCCGCCAATGTGAACAACCACAGCATACAATTCATAAAGCCGATCTGGATCCTCGGCATCGTCTGTGGTGTTAAACAGACGAAGATGGTAGGGATAAACGACGCGATGGAACAGCTTCTGCAGTCGCTGCAAGTCCTCTGTATATTTGAAACGCTTCAAATGCAAAGCCAGCACACGGGGCAAACGTTTGATCTTCATCCGCTTCTCCGCTTCTTGCAGTCCACCACAATTGTCGCAGTGGAACTTATTGCGCTCACAAAGCATCTCCTCCGCCGAAAACTTTCGGAGACAAGAGGTCACGGACGAATGCTGTTCGAGATCCACCGATAAATCCAAAAACACCTCATCTCGCTGCGAGACCTTTTCACACGTGAGACACTTGGTCTCGGACGTCAGAGTTCCTTCGAACAGTTCGTGAACCCATCTCGTAGTATTTGGTGACTTCGAACCCGTGCTAGATGTCAATAGTCCCAATGAGTCCACACTCTCCGTTGGCGGCAAAGCCTTCTCCGCGAATGCTTGCTTCGTGGCCTCAGTTTCAACATTGGCCACCACCTCGTTGAGGAGCAAATTCAAAAACTCATGCGCGTCCTGGTGCATGGCAGTCCGAAACATTTCGTGTTCTCGTCGTAGAACGTCCAGAAACTGTTGCGGGCGAACGATACCAATGCGCGCTTGGCTTCCTACCACCGATTCGAAGATGTCCTTGAGCGAAGTGAACAGGGACTCCGACATCCCATAACTGGTCGCATTGTTCTTGGTTTCCAAAATCGGAAGGGTCTGGAGTGCTACCTTCTTCTTGTATTCGGGTGATTCTTTGTCCTCCGGCTTCTGGTTTGGATTCGGGGGTATACCGGCCTGGCGCGCGGATGGTGGCGAGGAAGCCTTTTGTTTGGCAGCCAGTGCCTCGGCTTCGAGGTGTGCATTTGGGTTCTGATAACGTAGGTTCTTTGCGAGCGCAGCCTCGAGGCTGTCCATGGGTGTGCGTTGTGGGTAGTTGATGACGGCTTCACGGAAGGGAACGGAGTAGTAGAGACACTGCAGGATTGAGTTGCAGTAACAAGTGTTTCCATACTAGACAAGCGTGGCGGGTTTGCGGTTAGTGACTTTGCGATCCAAAACAGACTCCGGGGTAATCCGAGACTCACATTTTCCATTCCGTAAAACTTGTCACTCCCGTCGTCGCGGATGGATCCCATGTCCTGTAACCTCTTTTCTAGCGGTGAAATCTGCGGTACTTGGACGTCTTTTTTCACGGGTGGCGCCGTGGCCGGGGGGTTGGAAGCCTGCGCAAAGTGGAAAGTCCGAGTCAGTGGTGGTCCAAATCCGAATGGTCTCACGGGGGTGCCCGAAGCATCTGCTGTGCTACCAGGTCGAGAGAGCATGGCTGTAGGGATGTATTGTCACTCACCCCATTCTTCGAGCCCTTGGAGAAGAGCGCCTTCATGATAGCTTAATGGTCGGTCGCACTCTGCATTGATGAGGTTCAGTGTTCAGAGTGTTGAGAGATGACAGCGAGTGATCGGCATATGAAGAAGGGGAGATGATGGAGAAGGAAATGAAGCGCGTCCGGGGAAATAAAGTGTCGTTTGATCACATAAGGTTTCTGGGGTCCGGTGGAAATGAGGGAGGGGGCGGGAGAATGAAGAGATCCAGGTCCCCCGAGTTTATGGGGTAATGATAGAAGGGTGTGGATTTGGGAGGGGATTTAAGAAGATAAATAGATTAAAGAGATTAAAAGAGAAATTAAAGAAGTTAAAGAAGAAGAGATAGAGTAATTTACAAAGTAGAAGAGAGGGTTCACTGGAATGGACCCAATTATTTTCTAACATACATAATCATTTGAGGTAAACATAGGCAGTAACATAGTATATAACTAGTTATGTAACAAGTAATACAAATGCAACAGAATCATCCAGAAAACAACATACATACAACATACATTAAATATCTCAGACTAAACTCTCATATCTTGACCTACCCCATTCATCTTAGCCTCTCTTGCTCCACGTGGAGACCTAAGGCAGGTACTGGTCCAATCGCCGAATTTCTATTCTACAAGTTTACTACTCTAACATTCACTTCGAGTACTTTGTACAGAGTAAAGAAGAAACATTTTGAACACCGGCTATACCGGAGCCCCATCTTATACCCATTGGCCATAACGCCTTTCCCCAGCGGAGTAAATCCTCTCCCCCCACGTCCATGGGAGAGAGACTCCTCTCCCATCGCTAAACCAAGAACTCCATCCTGTTGATTGGGTCTAAGCCGCCCTCGCTCACGGGCCATGTGTCCGCCCCTCGCATGGCGTCGCCACAACGGCCAATAATCATGTGAGCCGTGGGGAAAAAAGGTGGCGGTGGACCCGGGCCTGCCCCTTCCAAAGTCGAAGTGTGACTGTTCCTTACATGGCTGAACTCTTTTGTCTCTACTAAAATGTGACCAGACCAGGGGAGATCAGCTAGGTAGACCATCTAGAACAAGCCACCTGGATTCCATACTTTCCCATGGGATGCCTTGGATAAGCCCAGGTGCCAATGTCAGCCTATATCGATTTAAATCCCCCCCCTTGCGGGGTCCAATAGGCGCAGCAATACCAATCCAGCCATTCTTTCGGTACCACACCAACGCACGTTCCCGCGATGGGGCACTCTGGCTAATCTGGGTAATCTGGCTTCAACGTCTGATCAAAACTCACACTTGTGATCTGACCACTTCGCCAATGAGAGAGAGTAAATTAAACGAGTAATATGCGACTCCGTTACCGAATATATACGGGAGTGCATGGTGGGGGTGGCGAGTCAAGCTTGACCTCTTCCAAGGGGCTCGGCGGTAAAAAGACGCATATTGGAGTGTGTCGGGCTTTAGGGAGATAGGAAAGCAACGGAGTCCGCGGGTACTGTATCGGTCTAAATCACTTAGTTCTATCAGATGAAATGACGTTGACTGTGGAGTAGATCAGTTGCTCCCGATTTGAGCGATTTACTGTATGTCATAGCCATTTCTACCTATGTACAATGCTCCGTCCCGCATACATTACACAAATACATTGAAAGAGTCACTCCAGGGCTGGATGATGACTGCATCGGAATGTGCACCTGGGCCCCCATCCCAAAGAGGAAAGAGTATTTCCCACAGCCGCATGAAGGACCTCGGGATCCATTTGCAGTGTTGCAAAGAGCAGATCCGGGGAAGTC